TACTGTACTACAGGACATGTATGAATTTTAATATTTTTAGGTTTTTTGCACAGAAGTTTGGCCCACCTTCAAAGAGCTGTGGCAACTTGGTATTCTAGAGATGCCTTTAATAACTCTTAGGTGTTCTGTAGTACATTTGGTGGCTAAATCTAATTCAGCTTAACACTGATTCATGCTAGGAAACATTTAGGAGGCTGCAATGTTGTCCTTCCATATGCATAAATTTAGCATACGCACAAATGTGTACATAGTTTAGGGTTTCTGGTGGAGCATTTAGAACACCACAGCAAGGTCCTTCAACCCTGAGTGAGACTTCATTTCAGCAGTGAGAACAGCTTGGAAAAACCCCAGTTTGCAAGCATCTCAAGTTCAACATCAGTTTTGAACGTACTACATTTGTAGCCAATTCTAGTCCTACTTAGAGTAGACCCATTAAAATTAATGGGACCTAAGTTAAACTAATATTGACTAAAACCCAGTGAAAACAAATTATTTTAATTGACATATTGAAATTTACTATTTTATATTCTTATTGTTTTTTCCAATATAAAGATTATGTTTTCAAAATTGTGTTTGTTGACCAATTCTCCATAAAATCATAACTTTGGTCTTTCCTAATGTGTGTATATTTATTGTGTGTTTGTCATAGTTACTCAAAATCAGTAAGTCTCAAGATTCCCTGATCCTATTCCACCTTTTCAGTAATCTTTCATTTTGCTGCCAACCTGTTCTGAATTAGTGTTTTGTTTTTTAATGGAAGCAACTTGTTATCAATATCATTTTTATATTCTTACAGCATTATTAATGGAGCAAAGTAAACTCTTACTTAACCATTTTTGTAATACTACCATGTATCATTTCTGAAATTCTGCATCTATGGTACATTTCTGTTTATTTTAAACACTTGGAAAATATTTTTTTATATATTAACACCAAGTGACTTTGAGATGCCTGGCCATACAACTTCCCAATTTTCCTTTTATTTCCCTGTTTGGCCAAATAGGCTGTTTAAGTACCTTATATAAGATACCAGTCTTTTACTCACCAGGAGTGCTTCCTCTTGGATACTTCAAGTTCTACTAATGAGAAGATTATGTGAAGCCATCTTAACATTTCCTTCTTAATTGATTTTTTAATGGAAAGAAAAGATGGAAGCAATGGTAAAAACATAGGAAAGGTTACAAATTGAAGACATTGTTGTCTAGTTTTCCCATAAATTCTGTTGATGAAGCAGAATGGTTGCTCTCCAACTTTAAATAGATAATCAAAAGTCGTGAACAGTACAATCCTATACATGTCTACTCAGAAGTAAGACCCACTGGATTTACCCTCTCATTACTAAGTATAAGATTGAAGCATTGGGCTTAAAACCAGGTAAGTGAATACATAATAACAGCCCAAGGTTTCAAATGTATACTTAGTAATCTAGGTGTAAATTCCATGGAATCCAGCAGAGTTCTAGGATATATGTATAGGGCTGCAGAGTAAGTATAATGTGTAAGAACAGAATTCTTTATAAATCCCTGTATGTATAGGTTATCCAATCAGGGTAAAGAAATTTCTGAAGATAGTTATGACTTTTCATTTTTCTTACTAGCTAAAATAATTTTTCTCATGGATCTTCAATTCTGTGGGAATGAACATATTTTGTAAAAATAGTGAATGCCCTGAACAGTCTCTTAAATTTTTGAACAAACACAAGTGTAATCTGGAATAATATTACATTAAGAAAGAGTAGAACTCAGAAACAATTACAAAATCAGCCTCTTTTGCCACTTAATTATCATGTATTGGAGAGTAAATGATGTATTGAAATAGTTTACCCAATGATCCCATTTTGCAGGTGGTTATAAAAGCTTTGAGTTGTTTGAAGCATTTATTACATGTAATTTTGCTTTATTGTTATAGCAGCTGTCATTTTTCACATTCTTGTTTTCCTGTTCATTTTCACCAGAGTTTATTTTTGGTGGAAAATATGCCCTTATTTACAAAGTGTTTGCATTCATAAGCAAAAGCTTCTTATACTATCAATCCTGTTAGACCATCATCTCTGGATCTTCCATTGTATTTTAAACCCTATAGTATTTGTCTTAGGATTCTCAAACAGTGTTCAAGGCTGTAAGTTTTGAATTTGAAATTTCCATTTGCCCAGAACCAAACACCGAGAGGAAAGAGAGATGGTTATCTCTTTGACATCAGGAGGGTAAGCTAGGGTATATAGTGTGGACGAGTGTAGGCTGGATAAACTTGTAGTGTGGCACAGTTGGGCAACAGCTTGGACATTTTATTTGAATGTCAGAAGAGTCAATCCTTTGGAATGCTGGTAATCAAGGCCAGCATCAGGGCATAGTGTTGATTGTCAAATGCTAAGGCCTACTTCCCCAGTATGGAGGCCACCATCTACTATTGCTTGTTCACTAGCCCTTGCAAAACAGGCAGGCAGGCAGGCAAGCAAGCAGTGATAAGAGTGAGGAAAAACAATAATCTGCACTGGGCCAGAGAAATGCAAAAGAATAGCAGTGACAATAGCAGTAAGAAGGACAAGGTGGGCATTTCTGAGTACAGGGCTCTTGGTAAAGAGTTTTCTGAAGCTTGAAAACAGCTTGGCAGGCAACTTATTTGTATTTTAACTTTAAAATTTTATACTGAAAAGCAAGATTTAAAAGGAGACTTACCTTGAATCCTACTTATTAATTGGTAGTTTGTCAGCTGAATACAACATACATGTTGTTGTTAGTTGCAAAGTCGTGTCTAACCCATCATGACCCCATGGACAACATTCCTCCAGGCCTTCCTGTCCTCCACCATCCCCCGGAGGCCACTTAAACTCCCGCCAACTGCTTCAGTGACTCCATCTAACCATCTCATCCTCTGCCGTCCCCTCCTTCTTTTGCCATCATACTAGGTAACACCTAAACAAGTTACATATTTGGAGCACCCACTGTTTCTAGGATTTGGGCAAGGTATTAGCATGATTTCTGGGGGCCAATGTACAGTAGCATTTTATCCCAGTATCTCGCTTACTCGCACAACACATGATGCACTTTCCAACTTGTTCTTCTGATGCAATTTCTTCATTTTCCCCAAACCACTCTTTTTAGTAATGGAAGTTTTCATGCATTACCAGGTGAACTTCTTCACACATCACAAACAAGCAATGGTTGGTTGGTTGGTTGGTTGGTCGGTCCGGGTGCTATCACCATTTTGATCCCCCAAGTCCATTTTGATCCCCCAAGTCCCTCCACACATGCATCTCAGGGGCTATTACTCCTTTATGCAGGCAGCCTGTTTAAGATTGGTTCACTGAATGCTCCCCTCTCTGTCACTCCTGCAAGAAACGCTAACTTTTTCTCCCCTCCCGCAGCTACTCAATATCTCTTTGGTTGTATGGTAGGGACAAATTGTAGAACATACCATTATGTCTTTCGGTAGTTTATAACAATAAGTCACAATGGTCAGTAACTATGACTGGCATTGGACAACATGACAAACAATGATAACAATCAATGTCATTTGAATCCACTCAGTTTGTCAATTTAAAATAGTATAACTGCTAATAGTGAAAATGGCTTTCAGGATGTAGAATCTGCTTTGCAACATCCTCTTCCCAATCCCATGTCTTTCTTTCCTTTCCCTGTTCTTTATTCCCTCAGGTTTTAATTCTGGGACTCCCTCCAGTTATTGTTAGATGGATGGACAACCTGCCTGTGAGCTGGGCTGGGGTTGCTGCATCTCCTTGGAAAGCTGTGGAGGCTTAAAATGAAAAAAACAAGGAAGAAGCAGGGGAAATAGAAAGGAAAAGTTAAAAGAGCAGTTTTTTCCTCACTTGAATCAGGACCTGAAAAAAATTGATTTGTAAAAACAAAAAAGTTTCAAGATTGATAGAAGGACATGCATTCTGATTAGATGGGAAGCAGAGGGATTTGTAGGCAGGAAATTGTTGCTTTTTTGTGCTATAAAGATGTGCAGACATGAATAACCACATAATATATTTTTTAACTCACATTCCCGCACAGCTGAAAAACTATACACACAAGTACCAGACTTCATTGCTAAAAAGAAACCTGAAATGGCATGACCTCCCACTTCTCCTGCAATTTTAACTCTGTGCATTGATGTGTGGCACTTGACTTTATTATAAGCATAGCAGATACTGCACTATTCAATAACATGTATCCAATCCATAGAATAGTATTTAAATTTGGAAAAAATGCCAGCACAGCAATTTCTCTGTATAGTAGCTCAGACTTGCCAGTGCATCTACAATAATATTGGTATACATGTACAAATGCATGCACGCACATGCACACACTAGATTCTAAAAACTATCCAACTGGTCAGACTTAGCTGCCAACCTTGTATGATTATAACCATGTGGATTAGCCAGTTTCTTGCAATTTGAGAACAGTACCTTATTTATGGAGTGGGAAAAACTCTTTCAAGACAGGGTCCCACAAGAGTTATTGCGTGTGACTTTGCTTTCCATTAACATTCAAAGAACAAAATTATCCCTTCTAAAACAGTATGTCTCTAATAAGTTAACTAATTAATTGCCATTGTGAGAGTAAAGATAAATCTTTGTTTTGGTGGTTAAATTCAGTAGTTCTCATTCTCTGCTTAAATGTCTTATTATTAACTTAATATTAAATGTTAATATTATAATATTAATATAATATTAAATGTTAATAAATATTAACATTTAATATTCAGCTATTCAAGTGATTATTTATGTGACCCAGATTGACATGATGAATGCAAGAATTTCATTTGTTCATATGTGATTGCCAGTGTGTCTTAGTCTTTTGTGAATTCCACTAATCACTAATATAATCATTTTACAGTCTGATTTTTTTTTAAAATGTACTACAGTATGTAGCTAGGAAATTTGACTGAATCAGACCTACTGAGTTTCATTTTTGTTTTCTTGAAGGAATAGTTTAAAAACATAAGCATTTATGATATTAAATTATAATGCAGTGTTCTTTTTATTTGTTATATAGCATTATGCCAGTATATACAGGCCTCTAAAGCCCAAGATTGTGGTGGCCGTTTCATTTCAAGTTCAGCAGAAGGTAAAACAAAAACAGGAGAAAAATAATTAAAACTTTGATTCATATTGATATTTCTTTTCTAGTGTTTCTGTCCCTTGACCACTTTGTGCCTTCTAGATTTCCCTTCACAGCTGACCTCTTTAACAGATGATGGAGTCCAGTTTTAAATACAAATAAAACTATTAACATTGGTGTTGTGTTCATTTAGACTTTTTGTTTATCTTTTGATTGTTTACCTATATGTGCATTTCCTAGATTACCTTAAAAAGGTGGAGGTTTTTAGATGAACAAATAAGCAAGCACATACCACCATAAATTTCAAAAACAAAGACAACTAAATTGCTTGGGTGTACCTGTTAAAGGAAATGCACAGATAGATAATCATATGTAAAGTGCTATCAGTACTATAACCCTTTTCTGTCTATTTTCTCTTGCTAATCAGCACTTTGAATTTTCTGTTTCTTTAAAGGAAATAATTGAGCTGAATCCTATTACATCTTTATAATGTGCTTTTTGATATCTACATAAAAAAGTTTGAGTTAAAACACTATGATTGACTTCATTCCTTTTTCATTTTTAGGTGAAAATTTTGAACAAACTCCACTAAGACGCACATTCAAGTCCAAAGTTCTTGCTCGTTATCCTGAAAATGTGGAATGGAACCCTTTTGATCAGGATGCAGTGGGAATGGTTGGTAACTTGCTGCATTCTTAATTTTCATTGCTGCTCTTGTATTACTACAGTCTAGTGCAGACTAAGAACATAACAAACACCATACTGGAGTAGACCAAATGCCTAGTCCAGCTTCTTCATTCCACAGCAGTCTACAGAAAGCCACAAGCTGAACATGTGTGCAACAGTACCCTCCCATCTCTTTTCCCATATAACTGATACTGAGAGACATACTGCCCCTGGTAGTGGAGGTAATATACAGCCAGCATAAATAGTAGATACTGATAGCCTTATCTTCCAAGCCATGAAATCCTTGCTTATATGCTACTCCAAGAAGCACATTCATGTAAACTAGTTACTCAGAAATATGTTTTCTATCAGGAATCAAACAGGTACACCGAAGTCTTATCAGAACAACTTTTTTTCGAACTGCAACTCAGCCTTGACATGATTGACAGAGAAGAGAGAGAGATCTACATGGAGAGCAAAAGAAAGCTTCTGTAGGGACAGGAAGCTTTTCAGATAAATCACATGTCATAATATTTCCTGGTATTTTAATCTTAGTGTGTGCCTGTGTATCTTTTAGCCCTTTCTCCCACCCACATCTATTTGCGATAAGACACAAGACAACCTAATTGCTGTTATACAACAAACTTCAGTGTACTACCCACCCACATGTGAGTTATTTGAGCTTAAAGCTTCACTAACCTAACCTAGGTCCAAAGACAATATCATGGCAGCAGTTTCATTTGTTTAAATAGGGATTAACCCCAGTAATACAAGAAGGGGTAACAAGACACATTTTGAAAAGCAAAAGAAGCATGTGAATGAGGAGTACAGAACTCACTTCATGAGCCCAAACTTCATTTTCCTACAATCTGTTCCTTCCTGATTTCTTTTCTCTTCATCTCAACTCTGATACTAGAAGTGTGATCGTTTGTGGGGGGAAAAAACCACTTAAAGACACAACTGCAGGTTAGCCATTGGAGGTGATGGGCAGAGTTCTGTACTCTTCATTTGCATGTCTCTTTTAAGTAAAGGCTCTGTCCCTTTTTCTACATGACTGTACCAGAATTTAGTTTTAATGCATGTCTCAAGTTAACACTTTTATAGCTTTAATTTGTGGGAGAAGTACCAATTATGCTGCTGTAGAGTCTATATCCAGTGATAACATTACAGTGGTACCTTGGCTTACGAACTTAATCCATTCCATGACTCTGGTCACAATCCAAATTGGTTGTGACCCAAGTCAAATTTCCCCATAAGGTTCAATATAAATAAGGTTAATCCATTCTGTAACCATTTTTAATCACAAAAATTTGAAATAAAGTGACAAAGAACAACAAAGTAACAAAAGAACAACAAAGATCGTGGCCATTCCCCCCTGAGCATGATCGCAGCCATCTCTCCCCCCCCCCCCCGCATGACCGTGATCAAGGCCATCTCCTCCCCACCAAGCATGACCACGATTGCGTCCATCTTCCCTACACGAGCATGACTGCGATCGCGGCCATCTCCCCAACCCCCGAGCACGATCGTGGCTATCTCCCCCCCCACCCCAGCATGACTGCAATCGAGCCTGTGCAGGGAAGACGGGGATGATCACGATCATCACCCAATGTGGAGTTCGCAACCTGAGGCAATTTTTTTCGGAAATTTCTGTTCACAACCTGATTTGATTGTGAACTGAGGCGTTCATGAGCCGAGGTACCCACTGTATTTCCTTTGCAGAAGAAGTGCTAAGACAAAATAAGAACTTCTCCCCTTCTATCAGTATTTTCAGGTGTGGTTTCCTCAATTTGAATAGGAGAAAGCTTTCTGATAATGGTTTACAAGTTTACTATCAACTCTGAAAATAGGGTTTCCTCAATGATATATTGTCTGGATTTTTAAAAATGTAGCATATGAACAATTCTATACATGACTGCTTAGGTCCGTTCAGTTGAATGGGGCTTACTCCCAGGTAAGAGAGTATAAAGTTGCAGCTATTACTTAAAATCCAATTATGCCCTTTCCCATATACTCTAGAAATGCTGGGGGACCCTTCATCCAGGACAGTGTATAAACAATAGCTGTAGTGAGAATGGGGAATTGGTACAAAGTGCCCCCCTTTTCTGGTCAAAAACCCTATCACAAGGAAAAGGGCACAATTGGATCAATCCATAATGTCCCAGTTTATAATTAGCTCGAACATAAGAGAAACTTGTTATAAAATGATACTTTATCTTACTGCTCATCTCTATAATATTTTACAGTATTATCTTACCTGTGGGAAAATAGCAAAACTATATAATTGCGTGCATGCTTGCTTAATTTTGTACAATATGAAAAGTTGTATGAATTTTGTCCTAAATCTGAGAGCGGCTCTAGGTTCATTCTGCAAAGCATTCACAAACTGTTCCTCAAAAGCAAAAATGGCTACAAAAAGTCTCAGTATTGTGCTATTAGTAAATATTATAGTTATTAAAGACTTGAAGTCAAATTCATATCATTAAATAGCGCTTAAATATCATTAAATAGTCTTACTGAAAAATATAGACCAAAATTATTAAAGTAAGCTGTAACGGAAGGGGCCTTTTGAGGCTTGAGGAATGGCAGGGGTTGAAAGACGAGTCAGCCGGCCTGGCTGGAAGAGCAGAGGAGCTACAGGGATGCCTTGGCATGGAGGTCATGCAGTGGGTGGAGAAGGGTTGAAGGCAGGAAAATTTACAAAGTCAGATATCATCTTCCCTGGGACGAATGCCAGGATGTAGGAAGAGAGCTAAGGGCACTAAAACAAATGGTTCTGCAGATCTGGCACCCTGGGAAGGGCAAAAGACTTGGATTTTACCATGACCCCCAGAGGAGCAAAGGGTTATGCTGGCTTGGGGAGGGAATAAAAAGAATGCTGATGGCCAGGTTGTTGTACTTCACCTCGGAGAGAGACGGAGGTTTGCCAGCTGCCAGATGCTGAGGCCCAGGAGGTTGGGACGGTTATTCTGAGGAGATCAGTTTGGCGCAGTGAGACAGTTTTAGGTTTTTAGCTCAGTCAGTTTTTGTTGTTTTAGAGTCTGGGACAGTCAAATGACCCTGAGTGGGGTAAACCTCTGGAAATTGTGTTGAACTGTCTACCTCATCCTTTTCTCCCTCTTCCCCCTTCCTTTACCCTTGAGTAGCTGAAGTTATTTGAACTTTCTTCCATGTGTGTATGTGTTTGTTATAGTCTAATACAGACTCTTTTCCCCCAAGTCTTGGGTCTACGTGTGCTGGTCCAGTGCTGCTTCTTCATCAGGGGCCGGGATTAACTCTTTTTAACCCTGGGAGCTGTTGGAAGGTGGGGACTTTCAGCAGCGTTTGGTGAGGGCAGTTTGCCTCACCGTTACATAAGCAATATATAACTTTCAATCTCTTTTCTTCCCCAGTTATGTATGCCTAAGGGTCTATCGTTCAAGACACAAGCTGATGCCCGAGAACCTCAGTTCCATTCATTTATAATTACCCGTGAAGATGGCTCACGAACATTTGGGTTTTCTCTGACATTTTATGAGGAAGTTACCAGCAAACAAATCTGTAGCGCAATGCAGACATTGTATCATATGCACAATGCAGAATATGATATTCTTCGTACTCCACCTACAAATGATAAGGATAACTGTAGCACCATAGAAGACTGTAATAGCACCTCTGTATCAAAGCTACAGCGATTTAACTCATATGATATTAGTAGAGACACTCTCTATGTCTCTAAGTGCATTTGTCTGATAACTCCTATGTCTTTCATGAAAGCATGTAGGAGAGTGCTTGAGCAACTTCACCAAGCTGTAACTTCACCTCAGCCACCACCATTACCTTTGGAAAGCTTTATCTACAACATACTCTATGAAGTTCCTCTTCCTCCAGCAGGGAGATCCCTAAAGTTTTCAGGAGTCTATGGACCAATTATCTGCCAGAGACCAAGCACCAATGAATTGCCATTATTTGACTTTCCAGTTAAGGAAGTTTTTGTGTTACTTGGAGTAGAGAATATGGTTCAACTCTTCACCTGTGCTCTTTTGGAATTTCAGATACTACTTTATTCACAGCGTGAGTATAGTTTTTAGAGCTGTTTTAACTAATGAGGAAAATGAAGGCTAGAAAGCTAACTAGGTATATTTAACACCATGTTTACGCATGATTGATTGTTGTTCTTTTGGGTCCTGGTGGCCCAGACTGAAAAAGGTAACTATTTTTCTCTTCTGTTATCAAATGAACAACAGAAATCTAATCTGATAGAGCTGTTTTGAATGTTACATATAATAGGCATGTACACACATCATGATAACCCACTCTGGCAATAAGCCAGGGTATGATGGTTGTTTTGTGACAAACCCATGAGGCACCCAGCAGATGATTGTGCTCTCCAAGGGTTGTTCACTGCATCCTTCCTCCTCAGTCCTCCTGAAGCTATCCAGTTTGGATGTGAACAACTTTTGCAGTTGTAGCTTCTGTGCCCCTTTAACGTTGTTCTTTTTTGAGTGATCACAGAAAAGCTAGCATTAGCCTTTTCAAAGTGCCCAAGTAGTACATTGAAGGGACTGTCATTAGTTTGTTGCCTCCCTTTAAAAAAACAATTTTAAAAATGGACCTCAAATGTATGCAGTTTTTGTTAATTGTTTTAGTTGGGCTTGCACAAATTGGCACTTGTGCCCTTTCACAGGTCCAAATTGACATATCTCACCTGGGCAATGTCCAGGGGGATATCTGCTTTCTGAATGCAGCAGGCACCCCTCATGGAAATTGGCCTAGAGAGACTGCCAAGAGCTTTATTTTTCATTTTAATTTGTCCTGATAGCTCTCAACGCACAAGCTATCAAGAGAAACCCAAAACACATATTTGTTTGAGAAAAGGGTGTGGAATTTTTTCCCAGCCTGGCTGTTCTGACAATGTTCTTTTCCACTCTTTCCTGAGATTCTAGGTTCTTGGGACAATGGAGGAGTATAAACGTCTCATTTTTATGGGAGCTGTCAGTCAAAACTTGCTGTCAATGTTCTAACTCCTTTAAAAGGTCCCCCCTTTTTTTCTTTTTAAAGACTTCCCTATGGTTTCTTTACAGGGACATATGCAGGTAGGTAAGGACAAACCAAAGTGAAGATTAAAGCTCCTGGCAGCCTCTCTGGGTCAATACTCATGAGGGGTCATTTAAGGTACTGTCACTGGCTGTCAAATTGAAAATTTGTTTTCACAATCACTGAAAAAAGAAGAAAAAGATAAAGAGGGTAAAAAAAGTTGTGGTGAATCCAAAGTGGCTTGCAGTGTAATGGGAGGCATGAAACAAGTGTTGGTCACCTCAAAGTTCTAGTTGGGCATTTGTGAGATAGTTGGCATTGGCCTGGGAGAATTTGGCAAGAGCAGCAGGGAGTTTTTGCTGCTATCACTTGCTGGTTTGTGGTATTAATGATAAGTTTGGCTGCCTGATTTTAAATGACATGACAATCAATTATAGGTACAGCAACCCCAAGAAAAAATTAATGGATTTTCAGGATGGCTTCTTGCCCCACAAAAGCCACCTTGTGGGAATTAGGCCTGGCTTACATGGCATGACAGCCCCCCCCATGGGTTGTCACCCACAATGTGTTGACATGTGTGAAGTTGGTCACATCTAATCACCTATTTGAGTCACCCTCTGCTTGTTTTAGAATTTTGTGGAAAGGAGGAAAGTGCCTTATATGTATCCAATGTATTCTGAGAGAATCATAAAGACTCACAGGTATTGGTTTATGTATTGCTCGTTTTACTTCATGCTGATGCTGAGGAACCCTCACTGATTTTGGAGGAACTAATTATTCTTGTCTTAGCTGGCACCTTCAGAACTTTTTTTAAAGAGTTGTTGGGAGTAGCTATTCCTCTTTTGCGCAAAAGCAGCTGCTCCCAAAGCAATAAGCAAGGTATAGCTGCCTTCAGAAAGCTATAAGTTACAAGTGCTTGACAAAAAAAAAGGAATAGATTGGTATGTGTGGCTTTGTCATTTCTTCACATCCATTGTGTTGGAATCACCTTTTTCTGTAAAATTTTTAAAAAGTGACAAAATGGAAATATGCCTTTGATTTATTTTAAAGATGTAAGAATCATGATGAAAGTTTGCTAAACCAATTCATACATCTTTGAATACTGGATCACACTTTTACATTAAGTTGATGACCTCCATGCAAGTGTCTTGCAAAGGCACTGGACTTTTGCTGTGCTCTTACAGTGCTTCTGTACTGGGGACTATATACATGGCCTTTGAGAGGTGTACAACTGCTAATAGCTTGGAAAAGGCTGCTGTTGTTTGAACAAACAATAACAATTTTAATATAGACATGGTGCCTGCATGAGAAATTAAGAGTTGGGAGTAGTCTTATGCTCTTCCAAGGCAGCTGTGTGAATACAGTCATTAAAATCAAATTGGCAAAAATGTATCTCTGGATTTTAAATTCATAAGGCAGAACAAGCTAGTGGAGAAGAAAACAGTGTGACACAACTGGTAAAGTAGGGAACTCTCTACTTCCCTATGTATATTAACTAAAGCAACAGTAGGTTCCTTCTTGGATTCTAGACAAAAGGTTATTAACCTGAAGCAATATAAAAAGTTGTATGGAAAATGGAACAGCCTTAAAGCAAAACAGCAAGTTTATTTCATGCTTCAAACTTTTATCTGACCTTACCTGCCTGAAAATCTTGGGGTACGGTTACACACAGTTCATTCTGTACAGCTTTGTTCTGTGCAGAAGGATACTAAGGTGAGTTCACACAACACAGCAAGGGTATTTTCTTACAAATGTTGGTCTGTTATGTTGTCTGAATTCCATTGTTGTATTTCAGCATAGTACATTTGATTTGGAGAAACCACAAACGAACAATGGTCTGCGCTGTAGTTTCTTAATATCACAATTGCTTCTTGTGTCATCTGAACTGGAAAATCAATTTGTTTGGTACTAAGACCAGAACTATAGAGCTACTTGGCAAGAGCAACTAAACAAAGAGCACCACTGACAATTGCCATTTTGCACAACTGCCAGAGGTTCCCCACTCTTCCCACCTCTTGCTCTAATGATCTTCTTTGGGGCCGGAGCAAGAGGTCAGCTGGTTGCTGCTGGGAGAAAAACAGCACTGTTCAGTAAATTCTACTGCTGCCACTCCCACATGAGCAGAAGTTGTGATTCTGCAGATTCTCCTGGTGCTGCCCCAATTGCTTCCAGGGGGAAGCTCCTGATATGTGCAAGCAATCCAGCTGCAGGAGTAAGAATCTGCTGAGCAGATGAACCCTTTTCTGCAGCAGAGACTGCTTGATAGCCTCATTCCTCCTTGTGGTGCCTCCTGGGATAGAGGGAAAAAGGAAGTTGCAGATGGGAGGAGAGTTATCAGGATGAGCCTGATTGTCTTTCAGGCACATCCATGGACAACAAATTCATGGGAAAAAAGAAAACAAGTGAGGGTTCCTTGTCATGGCAAGTGAATCCAGCCTCTGTTTAGTAGGCAGTGGTTCAGGGCTACGGCCATGCTTTGCCAAACACATTAATCTCACAAATACTTGTGTTCTGTCTTTCTTGGCATCATCTACTAGAATTGCTTAAAATCTGATCCATTCTTGCAAGTGGGACTTGCCATATAAGTTTACCATAGTGATCCCCCCTCACCCCCCCAGCTACACTTATAAAAGTACTACTAATCTGTGGGACTAGATTATTTGCCACCACTGTGCTCTTTGGCCACTTGCAGATTCAGCTGCTGCACTTGGAAGCCCCTGTGGGCATGCCACAGGCTTCTGGTTGGCCACTGTGGAAACAGAATATTGAATAGGCCTTTGGTCTGATCCAGCATGTCTGTTCCCCCTGTATTGCTGCACCAAGACCACCAGTTCTTCTGGGAAACTCAGAGGAGACTGGAATTCTTTGGGTGCTGGGTGTGTAGCTGGGAGAACTATTCTCATTTTGCCCTTTCTTTTGTGACATTTATTATCCCATATTACAATAGAAAAGGGGTTTTCTTGCTTTTGTTTTGACTCAGTGCTAAGTAGTTGAGGGAGCAATTGAAGAGTAATCATATATGTGTTTACTTGAAAGTAGTGTTTTGTTAAAAAAAAAAGTACTGGAACTCACGTCTTGGGGACACAATGGTCGCCGCCAGCTGAGTCAGCACGCAACCACACAACCGATCCCAAGCCGAGCAGCGCCCTCACAATCAGCGCCAACAATCAGCGGACAATCAGCTGACACACAAACAGCCCGCAGGCGCTATGTTAATGATTTCTGCCGCAGATCTGCTATGCCCAACAGGGCGATTCACAATCACTTGGAAAATTCCGTCAAAAAAAGGTGCCGGAACGCCGTTCCTGTGCGTTCTATGACAAAAAAGTCCTGCTTGAAAGTAAATCCCATAAAATTCAGTGAGGCTTAGTTAGGCTTACTCTCAGGTAGATAGGGATATGGTTACATCCTTTAGTGAGGATAATCTGTAAATAATAAATTGGGTTGGATTCAGAGATCCACTGAATGAGATTCAACTGATGCAACCTCCCAGTCATAGAAGAATTCTAATCTGAACAAATTGCTGCTGTTCGCTACTGCAATTGTCTGATATAATGAGTAAAAATGTTGCTAAAGGCACACAACCTTATCCAAAGAAGATACAGTGATCACATATGCTGGATTCCTGTGTTTTCCCTGTCTGTCTAAGCTCTTGCAATGTAGTAGGATGTCCAAGAGGATGAGAGGTTTCTATGTGCTTCACATATTGCCTTCATTCAACACAAGGTAAATTTAAAAACCAGTTGTTCTCTGCATGCTTATTTTTGTAGAAAAATCTCTTAACAGATAAACTCTTAACAGCTGATCCTTTTGGAATTGCTGTATTGTATAATCGCTTGTGTGTATTGTCTGGATCACCATGAATGAAGCTTCATTCTGGTTGCATTTCCATGGTAGCACCCAAATGAGTTATTTTTCTGATTTCCTTCTTTTTAGATTACCAGAGACTGATGACTGTGGCAGAGACAATCACGGCACTGATGTTCCCATTCCAGTGGCAGCATGTGTATGTTCCCATCCTTCCAGCCTCTCTCCTACATTTTCTAGATGCTCCTGTCCCTTATTTGATGGGATTGCACTCTAATGGACTGGATGACCGGTCTAAGCTGGAGCTTCCCCAGGAGGTGAGAAAAGTTTTACCAGAATTGGATTTCACTTGTTGCCAAACAAGTTCCAAAGGAGAAGAGCTTAAATTAGTTTTAGGCTTCCCTTGTTATACAACAGAGTCTCTAGGACAATTCTTAATTTGTGTTGTAAGCTGCCTAGGAAGGCCTTTTGTCAGTTATAGGAAGCCTATAAATATGTGAATGAATGAATGAATGAAGTTTGAAATGAATTTTGTATAGGGATAAACTGTTTCCAGAAATACTGTCCATAATTGATTGTCCAGTTTTAAAGGCTAGGGGCATTATGACCCTTTAGCCATTAAACAACTTCTGTGCTACAGGAACTCAGAGTAATATTGCTTCTGTTCAGAAGTGGAACAGAATTAATCCAGAATGGGAGGCAGGGGTATGTGCATGTGTGTAAATATATATACCTTGCACATACACTAGATGAATAATATTTTATATGAAGTGAGGATTAACAAATGTATTTCTGCTGTATATAACTATGATTCCTTTCAATTATGTTTTGTATTGGCTGCAAGATGTGCATGTGCGTTCTGGCAAACTTCAGGGGCACGCATGAGAGGCTGACCATTCTGGCAGGCCTGAGAGCTCAGGCTCTGATAATGAGAAGATTGTTGAAACAGACTTAGCTCCACCTGCAGTCCAAGGCCCTGGGTACCCACCTGTGCTGCTATGGAAGAGATTAGTTCAAGGGCAGCCAAGGGGCCCAGTCAACCTGCCCATGGGAACAAGGAAAAGCAACAACATCCTTAGGGGGGAGATTTTGAGATAGGAAGTCTATCGGAAGGGGAACTCCCTGAGGAGGTAGACCTGATAGTCTGTCATCACAGTTGTAAGGTGGCCCAGTTGGGATCTTGGGGAGGAATGAAGGCCCAGTTCCACAGCACTTCTCTTCCCAAGGACAAGCACAGAAGGATTCATGAGCAAAGCTTTGGGTGAAGAGGGCATTTTACACACACATTGACTAGGTCCACATAATTACCATGGTAGCTATCAATGATAGCATCTTTTAAGCCACAGGTGCATCCTGGGTTTGATGTAAATTACCATCCTGCCATGTCATCTTGTCATGCCATCCAAACCCAATCAGCATGGTTTATCAGTAGATTAAACATGGTTATTTTTAGGATGGGCTACTGTCAGGTTACTTGTGGGTTGTTTAACTCTCCATCAAGACATACTGGGTTTTTTAAGCCATAGTGGTCATGAGAACCAACACAGTATGTGACTAGTAGCTTTTATTTTGCTTATGGTTGCTTTTATATCTCTTTTGACTTCAATTTTCAGGCAAATTTGTGTTTTGTGGATATAGACAACCACTATGTTGAGCTGCCAGAAGATTTGCCTCAATTTCCAAATAAACTTGAATTTATTCAGGAAATCTCTGAGGTTCTTATGGCTTTTGGGATTCCTCCTGAGGGAAACTTACATTGTAGTGAAAGTGCCTCCAAAATGAAAAGCCTCAGGACATGTGACATAGTCTCTGATAAGAGAAATGGGAACTTAGGAGGACCAACTTTAAATTCTTATGAATTACTGAAAGAAAATGAAACCATAGCAAGACTTCAAGCACTTGTTAAAAGAACAGGCGTGAGCCTAGAAAAGGTAAGTTACATAATACTTATGCGATCTTCAGAATAGAACAGTACATGAGTTAGATAGGATTACTTTGGGAACTTAGCTTTGTTTGATATTGGTTTTTAATTCTAGCACTATTTTTGCACATTGTTCCCTAAACTTGTAAAATCTGAGGAAAATTTTGTCTACTCCAGAAATTACATGGGGGTTATTTAATGAATGTGGCAAGTATATTTCCTGCAGGCTTCCACAGGTATACTTTGTCTTAACTCTCTATTAGTTTTGTCTGAATTCATAGGAGCTTTAGTAGCACTGAATACTTCAGTGACTGTTGCATCAAATGTGACATTGAAAGGGGTTGCTCCCATCTGATATGTTAACTTTCTCCTATAATTTACTTTCCTATATTCTTACTATATTTTTAAGAGTAAGAGCAACCTGTATGAGAATTGCAAGGGTAAGCTTTTGATCAGATATGAGCTCATGGAAGCCATTTGATATATTTGGCCCCTGCCACTACTTTTTTTTTTTTTTTGCCCAAATCCAGCAGCAGGAAAGAATAGCCTTTTCCTTTATTCTTTTTCAAATAAGTAATTTTCCCCCACTATTTGGCAGCTGGTTTTGAAGAAGAATCAGTCTTTTTAATTTCTGGAAACTGGCTGCTGGTTATGCCAGTGAACTAACTTTTTTCTGTTTTTCCATCTTCCTTCCTTCCATTTCAGAGTTGCAAAAATCAGTAAAACATGATAAACATAAGGTTTTACTTTGTTCAGCAAAAACAAAACATATGGTATTGAATATAATGTGGTTTCAGACATTATAGTGATGCTTCAAATCATGTGAAATCATTTATTAGTGAGTCATGGGTATTTCCTCCCACCCAGTTTTTTTTTTTTTTGCCGTTCCTATCTCACTGGCTTGTAACATTAGTAATTATTTTCAATAATTATGTTCAAGTTATTTTGTTAAAGAATATGTTCCTTATATACGAACAAGCATTTTGGCCATGACCTTGATATACAAAGACATTTTTCCTTGAAAAACTTACTGAAAATGCATCAGGAATCCAAGATATTTTTATTTTCCTGCACTGATGTTGGTGATCCTACTTTATATTCTGTCTGGTGCAGGGACAACCCAGCACCATTTTGCATACACTCTCATAATTACAGTGGATGAAAATTATTTATGTGGGACTAGTTCTTAACCCCTCATTGAGTCAATTGCAAAATTATGTGAGTGTCTTGTTCCTTACAGGTTGAAGTTCGAGAAGAGATTAGTAGTAAGAAGGACCTCAAAGTGCAATGTGATGAAGAAGAATTCAAGGTTTACCAGCTCAACATTAAAATACGGGAAGTTTTTGCTAATCGTTTCACTCAGATGTTTGCAGATTATGAAGTATTTGTTATTCAACCAAGCCAAGACAAAGAATCATGGTTTACCAATAGGGAACAGATGCAGAACTTTGATAAAGTGAGTATGAAAATGCAGACTATGGAAATTAAGGGGAATCCCCATACAGGAAAGGAAAGAGAGGAGGGTGTATGGATGCTTATGCCGCATTCTGAATCCTTCAAATTATGGGTACATGCTTGGATATCTGAACTGAAGCACTAAAAGAACATTCATTTGTAAAGTAGCCCTTTAGACCACCCAACATTAGAATTAACTTCATTAATAACAAAATGATGGGGACAGTACTACATGATGAGTAGCACCTCAGAATCTTTAATGGACAATGTGAATTGGAGAATGTTAAAACAATTCAAAATAACTATGTAGATTATTTCTCAGAAGCCACAGGTTATTCTTTCTGTTATTGTGTAACAGGGACCCTTTCATTTGCATAGGTTTTTGTATCTGATCATCTTGTCTGATAACAGGCAAACTTGTAAAATGCATGACTGTATTTCACATATCTGGTTGTGGGTTTTTTGTTAAGTTAACCTTTTGATTAGGATCAGGACCATGATGCATGGGGATAGGAGCTAACACTCCCCTCCCCCAAAATGTGATCCTAATGAAAGTCCATCCATAACCTGACAGCTGAGCATGGGAAAGTAGCTGCTATTGGCACTAGTAGCAGTTGTTAACACAAATAGCTGAATGAAGCACACTGAATCCTGAAAGCAAAAGCCAGATATTGTGGGATGAATTGCAGGAGTGGTTTTGCCTCCTAATCCTCCTCAAATATCAAAATAAAATTCAGTTAGATTGGTTTCTCAGCCCATCCTGCTCATTTACCAGAGGTGGGTGGGAAAAGGGTAAGAGGCCATAGGATCCAGTGAAGCTACACATCTCTTCTCTCCTTCCTACCCACCAGAAAATTAGCAGCTGCAAAGGGTGGAAGAGGAGGGGAAGAACAAGCCCAATCTCAGATTTACCCTCCCAGGATCAGAAGAGTGTCTATAGCTTCAGGGTGGAGAATCCACAACATCCTATGATCCCAGGGATACAGGGACCATAGGATATAGGAATTATAGAAATGTTCTGTGACTCTTTCAAGGTAGATGGTAATTCCATTGTCTGTATAGCTACAAAGCCACTGGTATTTCCCTTTGATATAAGGTTTGTCTGTGAAAAGATTCATATAGCTAGTATATTTCTATTTCAGTATAGTGTATATATTAAAATGAATATAAAAATAAGTTAAAATAAATTAGAACATAATTTCAGTGATTATAAAGTGATGGAAAACTACTGGCTAGCATCAAGCCATATCATTCTGTTATTGCAAATGATACTGTACTGTTAGAAACTAGATTCTGAACTATGTGCAAGAGAAGAATCCAATTAAAGGTACATTTGTGCAACCATATTTGTGTAAGCAGTTGTGTATTATGTTTGTGCAAACCATTGTGCAGTCAGTTACACAACTCTTATTTAACTCACTGTATAACCTATTGAACATTCCATTTGTGTAACAGGTTGCACAACTGCTTTCACAACCCGTTGCACAAGCAGCTTGCTCAGTGGAAAGAGTCAGAGAAGTTCTGCTAATACTATTTGAGTTTGTACAATGACACCTTTGGATACTGTCCTCTGTATCCTTTTTAAATGTCTCTTTAAGTTAAATGAACATCTCTTCTTTTAATTTATTAGGCATCCTTCTTGTCTGACCAGCCTGAGCCTTATTTGCCTTTCCTCTCAAGATTTTTGGAGACACAGATGTTTGCTTCTTTTATTGACAACAAGATAATGTGCCATGATGACGATGAAAAAGATCCTGTCTTGAGAGTGTTTGATTCTAGAGTGGATAAAATTAGGCTCTTAAATGTCCGAACTCCAACCTTGCGCACATCCATGTATCAAAAGTGCAATACCATTGATGAGGCTGGTAAGGGCTGAAAATATCTTAAAAAGGGGCTGTAGTAATGTCTGAATTCTTTGCATAAAATTAAGCTTTTGAGAAAGTTGTAATTTCTCAATTGATAATGATAGAGACCGGTGTTTAGATAGAAATGTAGATGATACTTTATTGTTCTTGTAAAGGTTTCATTTTTATCATGTAAGTGCACATGATATAAACATATCAATTAGGTAATGCTTTCTCTTCTTCCTGTTTACGTTCTGAGCAAATTTGTGTCTTACTGACTTGGCATGTCTATTCTCCCTATTTTATTTCACAACATGAGGCCATATTGTGAAAATAATATATTTTAAGATGCATGTATAATGGATTTGTTTTCCTTCAGAGAAAGCTATTGAGTTAAGGCTAGCAAAAATAGATCATACTGCAATCCATCCCCACTTGCTTGATATGAAGATTGGACAAGGAAAATATGAACCTGGTTTTTTCCCCAAGCTTCAGTCTGATGTACTTTCTACAGGGCCAGCAAGCAATAAGTGAGTACACTATATTGGGAAGATCTTTTGAATACCAAATCAACGGAACCTGGCAGTAATCACTAGGTTCACATGATCACTGAGGAAGAGAAGCCAAGGTGGCCTTTTTACCTCCATTTTGCTGGTTGCACACTGCACAAATTTGCCTAACCAACTTTGCAGCATGTGAACTCCCATGTTGCCCAAGTATGGTGAAGTGTGCAGTACAGGTGGCTTCCAAACCAACCCAAACTGTGAATCTCGCCAAGTTCAGACAGCATGGCAGCCTGTGCTCCTTAAAGATAATGGGACAAATCACACAAGGCTTGACCAGCACATGGGAGGGAGCAGGGTGGCTTCCTTCTGCCCAGTGATCATGTAAACACAGCCATTTTCTATGATACATAGCCCATTCCTGGATCTCTAGGAGAAGACTGGGCAGACGCTAGATCACTGTATGTTTTAGATTTCACTTTTCAGAAGCCCCTAAAAGTATGGCCAGTGGTCAGGAATCCTAGGAGTTTTAAAACATCTAGAGATCTATTTTCTGCCTCCCCCTGGTCAAAAGAACATGGGGAGTGGAATATCTAATTTGAGTATCATATAGTATCAGTCCTACCACTAGCACATGACCAGGCAGCATGCTATCCTTACCTGAGTTAGTTGTTGAAGCTAGATCAGCAAACAAAAAAAATTAAGCACATTTTCCAGGTAATTCCCTGCATTAATACATGTTTATCACCACAGTATTACAATATTACTAGCAAAAACAATGCTGAGCAAAGTTTGACCTAGTATATGTTTGTGGTTAAACTGTATGTTATACCATTTTTAACACTTTAAAATTAGCAACCTTTGTTGATAGTTCATGTATGTGATCATCTTGATTTTTGAGCTAGCGTAACTGAGAAATGCCACTTTTGATTTTCTAGATGGACCAAGCGAAATGCACCTGCGCAGTGGAGGAGAAAGGACAGACAGAAGCAGCATACAGAGCACCTTCGTCTTGACAATGACCAGAGAGAGGTGCAAAATATACTGTAGCAATATACAATTTTAATGTCTGTCTCTCTTCTACAGATGACAGTGTAGGTTACCTGACCATATATGTAAGATGCTTTTCCCCACCCAACGATACATGGCTGAGATCTTCATCTGGTATACAATGGTAACCTGTATGAAGAGCTATGTCAAATACATCCTTCTATGGGAAGTGTTCAGGGAGGGGTTCATGTAGCACCTATTTGTAGCAGGCAGCTGTTCCACACTGGGTGTGAATGTGTCTTTGTGCAAGTATGCCCAAACCTGTTCAGTAAATTAGTTCTCAGAGATTGATTTCTGCTGTTACTGTTGGCCAAATGATTATTACTTACTAGAAAAATACTCATGAGTCTAAATAAATTGGAAAATCTTACAATACTGATATTTTTGGCTTTTCTGCTTTGCAACTGAAAAAAAAAATCTGTTCTGCAATTATGGAAAATTCTTACATGCAAAACAATTTAAATTGAAGTTCAAGGCCCTAACATTTTTTATCTTGTGTGTTGATGGCTGAATTATATTCCTTTCTGGAGTTAAAATTTTGTTTTACTGTTTTAATTATGCATTATGTTGCATCATTAATTTCCCATCATTTGGAAAATCACAAATTTACTTAAATGAGCTCTGCTTTATTCTTTCATGTGTACTTTTATGATTTCTGTCTACTCAGCTTTCACTTAACATGGATGGTGTGATTTTTGTTTTTGTTTTGTTTTGTTCTGTTCTGTTCTGTTCTGTTCTGTTCTGCTTTGCTTTGCTTTCTTTCCTGTTTCACCAGCAGCTGGATTTTCCTTTGCCCAAGCTTCAGTTGCAATTATATTTAGACATGGACCATCATGATTGGCCTTTCAGGCAATCTATTAAATCTGTTTCAGAGCTTTACCTGGTATGTTGTGTTTGTGTATGTGCATAGGTATACAATGTGTGTGACTCTGTTTGGGTATTTGTCATTATAATACAAAAATATTATAGGTATTATTCTGAACAAAGTTTCAGAGTTAAGCTGTATTTCAGAGTTTTCTTCTGCAAAGGCCAAGCATTGCATTATATTCAGTCCCAAAGTATGAGTTAGCATAAGCCGAGATGATCTAATTACTGTGATATTTCAAATATATTGAATACTGTGAGTAGCACAATGATTCTGTATTACAGGAAGTATATGCTTATCTTCATGCAATAAAATGCTTCATTGTTGATGTACAGTAATAGTAGCTAGGCTGTTTAAAGCTGAGAATAAATTCCAGTAAAAGAAAAATGCATATATCTTTTGAGATTTTGCTATATTTCATGTTGGCATTTCTCTAGCAAAAGAGCAAAATGAAAACTTTTGTAAGCATTTTAATGTTGTGACTTTGTATAAATTTGTGTTTCTATTTTTTAATAGAAATATATCCAAGAAGCCAGGAATCTAGGCAGCACTATCCGGCAGCCCAAATTGTCTAATCTGTCACCATCAGTAATTGCCCAAACAAATTGGAAATTTGTTGAAGGTTTGCTGAAAGAATGCCGAAATAAGGTATTATGCAATTAGTTGTTTCCTTGTTGACCCAGCCTCTGGTGGTACTGCAGCTACTCAGAGGAGTTGGTTTAAATGGAAATGATCCCTTGATAAGGTGTTATACTGACTGGGTTGAGACAACACAATAACACAATAACACACTCAGGGGTGTTATTGAAATATAGATTTTTGTGTTGTCTGAATTCAGCCATGCCAATGAACCATGACTTGCTACCCATGAAGAGAAACAATAATTTTTTTATTGGATTGTGAACTGTGAGTTGTTTTTGGTTTCAGGCAACAACACACAGTTCAATGATACACCACAGTTCATTGACAAACCACTCTCAGGACCAACACAGAAAAGGCTCATTCCCAGGGGTCTTCAGTCAGAGGGGAAACACAAAGAAGGGCCTCTGAAGCTGATGTGGCAGCAATTCATTTATTTATTTAGGAGACTTCTATGCCGCCCCATTCGCCCCGAAGCCTTGTGGCGGCTCACAACCAACACAATGGGATTGTTTATTTTGTTTTAGCATTGTAAGCCACCCAAAGAACCTTCAGGTTATGGGGTGGCATAGAAATGGAAATGAATGAATGAATGAAGGAAGGAAGGATCTAAATGGAGAATGAAAGGATGCAGATACATGCATGGGTATATTAACAAACTTGATTTTAACTTTGGATGAGTAGCACTAAGCAACAAAGTTTCTCTTTCCTCTCTTTTTACAGGAGAAAATGCAGTCCTTTGTCCTTTCCTACAGTTCTTCCAAATCCTGTTGCTGTGCATATGTGCAGGGTCTTCCTTCTTTACCTGTCTTTATTGTAGCAAGCCTATAGCTCTTACCCACTCTTTGCAGTTGCTCTGTACTTTGATTATTAGAATTAGGATTTTTTGAAGCCAAAATCCTTATCCTGGCTTCCTGCTCATGTACTCACGAAAACTTTTCCCTCTTCTTTCTCTTTTCCCTCTCCCACACCTGCCTTTTATCTATCCTCCCCACCAGTGTGGTGCAGTGGTTAAGATTTCTGGATTGGGTTCAGAAAGATTTGGAGATCTGGGTTCTAGTCCTCATTCGGCCATGGAGCTCATTAGGCAACTTTGGTCAAGTCACAGATTCTCAGCTTAACCTACCTCTCTGTGTCACAGTGCAACAATAATATGAACTGAATTAAAAATCTGTCCATCCATCCATCTCTCCCCTCTTGTTGGGTCTGGCATTCAAATACAGTCAGCATTTGAGACAAAGTTTTAAGGGTGCTTGGTAAATTTTCTCTGGTGAGAAAGAGTTAATCAAACAGTCCTACAGTGAAAGCAAAGCATTATAAAGACATACATAACTAAAATCTTGTTTACAGACAATACTTCTATGCCCAAACAGTGGGTCTATTGCACATTATAATAATTAAATATTAATTCAATTACAATAGAAGGTAAAGAGTCAAGATGTTTATAAAAATCTAAACCCCCATTTTCCATGTAAAATCTAAGTTGCACTGTATCATAGAGACATCAGTCTCTACCAGAAAGCTGTTAACTGAGAAGGATGAGTTGCTTTTATTGATAGTGGCAAAGATCTATATAAAAATGAACAGTGACTGAATAGTAGCATATTCTGTTGCTGCACTACTTTAATATGTCTCTAATATTTCTAAACCATAAAGAGATATTTGTATGCTGGGACCACAATCTAAGCTTCCCAGAAGATGGACTTTTGGCAAATGATGGGCTGTGCCTCACAAAGAACGGGAAGCAGATGTTTGGATGCTACATGAAAAACTTCTTCAGAATAGCTTTAAACCAAAACCTATAGGGAAGGGCGATGTGCAGCATGGCATACCATCCCCTGGCAAAGACTTCTATATTTCAACAGAGAAAAAACTTCAAGCAGGGCCCAACACCAGTCTCCCAAAAAACATAGGGCACAATGAGAAAGAACTTTGATGTCTCTACACCAGTGCCCAGAGTATGGGAAACAAACAGCACAAACTTGAGCTCATAGTACATGAGGGCAATTATGATCTCACAGGAATAACAGAAACTTGGTAGGATGACTTGCATGACTGGAACTCTACAATTGATGGATACAACGTGTTCAAGAAAAATAGAAAGGACAAAAAGGGAGGTGGAGTTGCAATATATGTAAGACACATATATCTGCACAGAAATACAAGAAGAGGAATTGAGTAGCTCCGCCAAAAGCATCTGGCTAAATTTAAAGGGAGCAAAATAGAAGAAAAACATAGTTATTGGCATATATTACCATCTACCCAGTCAAAAAAAGGACAAGGCTGCCACCTTCAAAAAGCAACTTGCCAGCATTTCCAAGAATGATGTAGTTATCATGGGGTACTTCAATTTCCCTGATATATGCAGGGAGACAAATTCTGCCAAGCATGGCCCCTCCAAGAGATTCCTGACATGTGTTGCTGACAACTTTCTCCAGCAGAAAGTAGAGGAAGGTATGAGAGGATCAGCTATCCTCAATTTAATACAAACGAACAGGGATGGTCTGGTGGACAAAATAACAACCATGGGAACTCTGGGGGAAAGTGACCATGCGATACTTGAATTCTCAATTATAAAGGAGACAAAGGGTAACTGGAGGCAAACAAGCAACCTGGACTTCAAGAAAGCCAACTTGAATGAACACAGAAAAATGATAAGCGAAGTGCCATGGCAATACACCCTTAAGAGGAAAGGCATCCAAGAGGGGTGGGGAATCTTGAAAAAGAATATTCTCCAAACATAACTATGATCAATCCATAGAAAAAAGAGTAGAAGACAGCAGAGGAAGCCCCTGTGGCTCCACAAAAAGTTAAGTGACAGCCTGAAAGAAAAAAAGAATATGTACAGGAGGTGGAAGCAGGGCCAAGGCACAAGGAAGAATATAAACAAATAGCAAGAAGTTGCAGGAGTGACATCAGGAAGGCTAAAGCAGGAAATGAACTGAGAATAGCAAGGGATGCTAAGAACAACAAGAAAGTCTTCTTCAGATACATCCAGAACAAAAGACATGAGAAAAGGAATTGTGTCCAGCTACTTAAAGTGGATGGCAGAGTGATAACAGACGACAAGGAAAAGGCAGAGGTGCTCAATTTCTGCTTTGCCTTAGTCTTCTCCCATAAGGAAATCTGAAATCAAGAGGAAGTCCAAGCTGGAAGTGAGAGATGGCAGCCCAAGACTGACAGACAAAGATCAAGGAATAGCTAGATGGAATAAACACTTTCAAATCTCCAGGGCCCTATGAACTCCATCCCAGAGTAATAAAAGAGCTAGCAGAGGAACTCTCAGAACCACTGGCCATTATCTCCAATAAATCTTGGAAAACAAGATAAGTGTCAGATGAATGGAGTAGGGCTAATGTCCCTGTCGTCAAAAAGGGGAAAAAAGATGAACCTGGGAACTATAGACCAGCTAGTCTAACATCATTTCCTAGAGCAAAAAAAATCCATTTGCAAGCACCTTGGAGAAATTGCAGTAATTAATAGAAGCCAGCATGGATTTATCAAAAATAAATCCTGTCAGACTAATTTATTCTCCTTTTTTTGACTGGGTAACCTTCCAAATGGGCAAAGGGAACACTGTGGACATAATCTACCTAGACTTTAGCAAAGGTTTCAACATAGTGCCACACAACATTCTGATAAGAAAATTAGCAAAAACTGAACTAGATGGAAAAACTATTAGGTGGATCCAAAATTGGCTGCTAAATCTGACACAAAGAGTGCTCATCAATGGCACCTTCTCAAATTGGTATCTAGTGGGGTGCTACAAGGTTCAGCCCTGGGCCCAGTGCTTTTCAACATCTTTCTTAATGATTTAGATGAGAAATACAGGGAAAGAAAATAAAATTTGCAGATGATACAAAATTGGGTGGAATGGCAAACACCCTAGAAGACAGAATGAAGATCTAGGGTGATCTTGATAAACTTGAACACTGGGCTCAAAGCAACAGAATGAGATTCGATAAGGACAAGTGCCAAGTTCTCCATCTAGGAAAAAGAAGTCAAATGCATTGATACAAGATGGGGAATATGTGGCTCAACAGAACTAAAAAAGAAAAAGATCTCAGAGTAATTGTAAGCAATAGGCTAAACATGAGTGGGATGGTGTAACTTGGTGTCCTGCAACAGCGGGGGTTTGGACCCAATGACCTTCATGGCCCCTTGCAACTCTATTATTCTATGATTCTATGGCCTTACAAGAATAGCTGTTAAGTCTATTAGAAAGTGTTTATTTTTCCCCTCAGAAAGCTCTGCCTGGGATACTTAAAATTTGTTGCAATGTCAGATTGTCACTAAGGCCTTTATTGTTGGAATTCTCTATGTAGCAAGTAATGAATTGAAATACACTAGATTTTAAAGATGTATTCTTCAAGCACAGAATCAAAGCTATGTTTATGCAATCATTTATGGGTGAAAACACATAATTGCATTAACAAGACATTAAAAATTACTATGTACTTTAGAAAGAAAAACTGAACAAGTGAGAGACCTAGAAGTAGTGTCTTTCTCTCTACTTCTGCATTCATTTCAGAAGAATCCAAAAAACAGGAAGAAGAGGGTTATGTGAAGTAATAGGTGTTTTAATGGGAGGAAGTGCTGGAGGGGACTTCATATGGTGGTGGAGTTTTCTTTAAAAATAGTGTAAGCATGGCATGGCTTACAAACATAGGTCATATATCAGCAGAGAGATAAACTAATGATTCTTGAACTCAGTAAACAGAATACAGAGAATCCCTTGTATGAGACAAATGGGCTCATGCAAAAGGGGTGTCTTTAATTCCTCCTTGTTGCAACCACCTTCATCACTTCCCATCACATTCCAGAGGGTCTTCTTATTTCTGGGGGTTGTAACCAGAAAGCAAGAAGCAGAAAATATTGCAGAGCAGGCTCTATGGACTTACATTTATCATGCTAATTCAAGTGGATTGTAAATTGAAAACCACAGGCATTTTATTTTTATATATATATTTGTATGCAGTCCAATTACTTGCGTCTCTGGATGGCTTACAGCATAAATAAATTGACAACCCAGTCTGGCTGCAAGTTAATAAAAATACAACAGTAAAATTCAATATTAAAACATATTAAAATATTGATTAAATAAACAGGTCTTAACTTGGTGCCGAAAAACATAATGATGGCACCAGGCGGACCTCTCTGGGGAGCGCATTCCATAGTTGGGGTGCCACCGCAGAGAAGGCCCTCCTCCGGGTACTCTGTCTCCTAACATCTTTCGCAGAGGGTTCCCGGAGGAGGGCTTCTGTTGCTGATCTCAGGGGGCAGGAGGGCAAATAGGGAAAAAGGTGTTCCTTTTTATTATTCACTGCAAACAAATTTTCCATTGTGCTGATTTTGACAGAAAAATGTAAGACATACAAGGGAGCAATGCTGGTAGAGCCGTAATGGAAAATATTGCTAATTAAAATATGTATTTCAACTGAGCAACCTAAATATAGTGATTCTATTAAACTGCTGCTTACCTGGGGTAATGCATATAACATCCTGGTGGTTTTCTCTGACAAAAAATGCAATTGTTACTTTCTCTTCTTTCTCTCTCAAAAGACAAAGAGGATGCTAGTGGAGAAAATGGGTCGTGAAGCAGTGGAACTTGGTCATGGTGAGGTGAATATTACAGGTGTAGAAGAAAACACATTGATAGCCAGTCTCTGTGATCTCTTGGAAAGGATATGGAGCCATGGTCTGCAAGTAAAGCAGGTAAAAAAAGGAAATGGTGGTTGTAAAATTTGCCAACTTTTACTGATCTTTTAAACTACACTATCTTTTTGAATTAAAATTTGATATTAAAGTGCAAGACATACTGATCCTACCTTGAATTTTTATCGTTTATGTAAATTACTTAATCATATGGGGAGGGTTGGATCCTGTGGAGGCTTCTGTGAACAGAGCAGTAAAAAGTATTCTTCGTTTGCAGATTTCCCGTCCCCTCTCAAACCTCCCATGCTACCTCCAAGCTGTTACAGAAGGATCCCCCAACCTTTCACAGCATATTTGTGGGACATTTGAGGATTTGCAGAGGAAAGGAGGAATCAGCTAAAATTACCTGTTTTCCTTTCCTTTCTGGAAGCTGAGAGTGACCTTTTTGTGAGCAGCCCTCTGCTCATAATATCTTTAAATCCAGCCCTATAAGTTCTATCTCTTCTTTTCTTTCGCACCTTTATTGTGAACTTTAACTAGAAGATGATAAAAAGAAGTTATAGAAACTTGTTTGATAGGTATGAGTACCTATGAGAATTGCCTGAATTCACTTCTAGACTGTATCAGTTTCTGTGTGTGAAGGTATATATTGTCTGACTCTTACCTTCCCTCTTATATACTGCATAGGATAGAAGCTGTACTACTTTCATCCTAGAAGATAGAGCATCAGTATACTCTGCTACAACTCAGATTTGGGCCTTTCAGACCAGCAAGCGGCCAACCCTACATAAGGTTAATTCTTTGGATTGATTCAGGATGTTGGCAAACAGTGCTGAACGGTCTGTTGTGGTAGAGTATTTGGGAGTCTGATGGAGGAAGTGCAAAACATCCAAAGTTTTTTGAAGTAAAGAGTCTTTCATAAAAATACTACTATTCCTCCTTATAACATCAGCTTTGGATTCAACTACAGAAGCCTAATTTTGTGCAAAGGGTTTCTTTTTTCTTTTTGTAATCTTCAGTAGAAGATTATGCCTCCTCATGAGTCCGTGTGAAGATAGCTTCCCTCAACTCCTTCCATACCATACCAAGCTTTTGCCCACTCCCCAGTGCTGGATTTCCTTAGCCTACCTAGCTATCAATTTCCATTTGTGATTTCAGTGTCATATTTTTCAACCAAGTTAATCCAATGTCATTGAGATTTATGATAGCATTTAGTTTATTCATTATCAAAACATTTATCATAATTTCTTTTGTATATACATTCCAGTTTTCTTCTCCCTTGGCTTTGTCCACATATCATCATGCAATTCAAGGAAACAAATAAGGTCACTGCTTTATGAGCTGTTTATTTATAATTCCACATAATATGATATTCTTTTTAGTTCCCTTAGGCTTTTGTGCTCTTTATATGATCTGTTCCAGCACTGGAGCCAGCATCTATGTTGTTAATTATACAGGAGCTATACTGAGCTAATTTGTTTATAATGATATCTGTATTTTCCCATATGTACCTGTTTGTTGGTGGCAACCATAGTAGTAGTAGTTGTTGTTATAGGGCCTTTAATATGTCAAGCCTAAATAATCAGAATTAAAAGAACATTTTAATCCATCCCTTAATAATCCATACATATGCACTTCTGGGCAGAACCATTATCTTTCTAATCTTTCACAGATCCAGCTTTGAAATCCAGGCCATGGTGTGTCACAGACCAAGGTTATATTTGGATCATCTTAGTATATTTTAAGGAACTAGGCATGAATCTTTTGTTTGCACATACTTTGTGAGCTGTAATTAAACCAGGAAATTCACTAACGTTCCTCATTTTTTCTGTACTCAGAAAATATCATTATGAGATATGGAAGAAGAAAGGCTTGATATTAGTTTAACATCCTGGCATTTTCTGAAACTGGTAACTGTACTTTTCATGTTTGGGTGAAATGGAAATCAATGATAAGCTAGGGACTTACTGGTTTAATCACAGCTGAACTGGACCATAGGAGTTCCATGCGTGAGCAAATACTAATGCATATCTTGTCCTAATAAGCTGAGATATGATGAGCCTAATCAATCCATAATGTTGGTGTATTACAGGGATATTTGCTGAACAACTCAAATGAGATAAGCAGGAGAAATAAGTAGACAATATGCAAAAAACACTTCTAGGAACCAAATATGGCAGATGAACATGAGCAAAACCTATTAACTGCATATTTATGATTTAACTCCACTTGTACTATAAATGAGATGCTAGAACAGAAATTGCAATACAGCCAACATTAATTTATGCATTACAGTCTTAAACTGTTTGAGATTTTTTTTCCTGTTTTGGAAATGACCAGTTAAATGCACACAGAGGGAATTTCTAATGTATAATGTGAGATTAAGTTTAGTATTTTGTATCTTCTTGCGGGAAATAAAGAACTTAAATAATTATATATTTTTAAGAGATGTTTGCATGATCTGGTTCACAGCTCACAGTTTAGAATTATGAGAATGAACTGCACTGAGCCTTAGACCTATATGCCATCCCCTTCTCTGGTGTGGTCACAAGGAGCTCTCAACCTTTCACTTGGTATTTGATTGACCAGGACTTGTCATGGTTTGCTGAACCTAACAAACTAATTAGTCTTAAATATGGTTTGTTATAAAAAGCCAGTTTCAAACCATGGATTATGAACAGACCATAATCTGTATTAACCACAGTTTAGTGCCTGGACAATATGCAAATTTTGAGCAACCTGAAACAGAGGTAGAAGCTTCTGATCCCCTCTTTATGACTATACAGTGCAAGAAGTGGGAAGGGGGAGCACAGAAGCTTATTACATACTTTCCCATTTATTTTTTCTATAGTAAATATTTCCACTTATTTGCCATTTGAACATTTCCTTCATAATAATTAAAAATTACAGTATCTTCTGATTGCCTACCATACATCAACTAAGTTGTAGCTATTGCTATTTATGTCCATAAACTTCTAAGGCTACATAGCTTTCCTCTTACTATGTTATCCTCTGTTATAAATATTTAGTTGTGAATAGGTATTTTTTAATTTCACAATCAACTAAAGCATTCTTGACTAAAAAACCTGAACTAAATAAATAGGTAAAACCATTGCTTTAAATCTGTGGTAACTATTCATATGCTGTTATCAAACCAGGTGAACATATTCAGAATAAAATAATTTTGTACTAATAGAATTTGTTTACATATTAGCCCCTCTAATACTTGTTAAGTTTTTCTGGGAAATCAGCGCTGGGTCAGAAAACATGGTGGCCATATTCGTATTACTGCAACAGAAGGAGAGAAATGAAGTAGAGCCACTGTATCATAAAAAACATAAACAAATTGTCTTTTGGACTCCTTCTCTAATCAAAATTTATCTACCCCAGCTGGTCCTAAGGAACTTTGTAACTTTATGTACTCTTACCTGTGTTGACATTGTCTTTCCTTTCTCATCCCTCTCTTCTTATCCCTTCTTTTCCTTTCAAATTGTGTCTTTTAAATTGAAAATTTGAGGGTCAGGAACTGGATTATTTTAATGATATATAGTTTCATTGATCTTAAGAACTTGATAAAAATGCTTTAAATAAATGTTCCTGTACCTAGTATCATCCAAGATGGTAGCCATTATACAGTTGGAAAGGACAGTGAAGATCATCTAGTCCAACTCTGGTACAGTGCATGCTTACCCAATTATTGTTGTGAGGGACAGTTCTTCTCCTGAGTAAGCACACCACTCCTGATTTTCTTTTCACAAGGCTTTACTGTTAAATATTTCTGAGTTCACCCAGAGTGAAATGTTGAGCCCTCTTTAACTTTGCTCAGCCCCATCCCCCGCCCTCTTTATACCCCCTTTACCTGCACACACAACTCCCTGTTTATTCCTCTGGTTCTGTTATTGGTAGGCTAGGGCTCTCATCAGCCCAGCTGTCAACTTCACCTCCTGTTGTGCAGTGTTCCCATTTCCATGGGCCAGTTGGTGTCACCCCCATCAGCCTGGACGAACAACAACTCTCCTTGCTCTCCAGACATTCCCTGACCTTAATCTGATAAGTGGAGGCTGCTGCAATTCCACAACAATGTCATCTTCCACTGTTTGAGCTTGAATTCCCATCAAAGCTATAGACTGCTGTTGTGTGTTCTGGCACCTTGCCCCAGTGGCCACACACAGCAGTTATAGTGCTGCACCCATTTTGTGAAAGCACATGCTTTACATATTAAATGGGCTCATTTCCTGGTATTTCCAGGTAGAGCTGCTGAGAGACCCTGCCAGTAATCTTGAAAAGCCATTGCCAGTCAGCACAGACAGTACTAAGCTAGATAACATCCATGGACTGATAGTTTAAAGCAGCTTCCTATGTTCCAGTGCATGTCACCCAGATCTTCCTTACTATATTTCTCACTAAATAAGGTAGATTGATGTGCACTGACGGAAAGAAACACTAAATTCTTTCTCTCTCAGCAGCCCTTCTCTTCCTCTCATAGTTCCTTCCCTAGCTGTTAGTTCTGACCTTAGCAGCCTAGTTCAACATCACAATAACCTAGTTCATCATCACAACAAACCATATATATATCTTTTAAGTTATGTATTATTGTAAACCAGCCAGCCATGGTTGGTTAGTATTATGTACAAACTAGAAACTCTGGTTTGTCTCCTCTTCAATAACCCATGGTTTGAACTTAACCCTTGGAGAAATATAAGCCAGAATTACTGGTTTACATATAATATTAGGCAAAACATAGGCAAGAGGTCCATGGTTTGTTTCACTGCTCCACTTTGCAGTGAGACATATCGAGCAGTATGCACAAACACACTGCCTTGTTTATATTTTTTTAAAGTTGAGGGTGAGCTAAGCCATTATATAATAGCAAGGATTAACCTTTGTGAGGACACTGTACCAGTCCACATGTTCACTGTGACTTGAGCCATGGTGGCTTGTTTAAGCACCACTGCATGCTGGGCACCATTTTCCTACTATCCTGCCTGGGCTCTGCTTCTTTTATCTGAACTTGAGTAGCATGGCTTGTTGGAGGCGAAAGCAACCTATGTGTACCCATGGCCTGTTGTGGAATTGTTTGAGGAAGGTTTCCTCCTTTGAAAAGTCATGCTACCTTGATTTGGACAAAATGACATTGCCCCAACAGATGATTAGGCACTTGGCACCTGACACAGGCTAGCATGTGCCATGGCTTAACCAAGCTACCATAGCTTGTTTAAGCTATGCTGATCGTGTGACCCAAGCCTATGTGAGCATTACCCATGTTATTTTTGAATATTCCTGTAAAATGTACTACTGAGGATTTTTTTTTAAATTAAGCTTCAATTCTCAATTTGCTTAAAATCCCAATTTCACTATTTTTTTAAACATGACCATGTAGGAAATCTGTTATGTATGACAGTAATGCTCTTACTTTTCCAAGAGGAGACTTCTTCTTTTCCTCACTGCAAAATACAACAAATGGGTAAATCAGTCTAGTTATGGACTTACTATGCAAGGTGGATGCCATTTTTCCAAGTATTAATTGCCACAGTCCAGACTGTTTTGGGGGAACTTGCATACTGTTGGCTCTCAAAACGATTTTACTAGTGAGACTATGCCAGCTAGTTTTTTTTCTTGGAAGCCATATTTTGTAGCTGCTACAACTTTCTCAGATTTATTTATTACATTTCTTTACTGCCCAATAGCTGAAGCATTCTTGGAGGTTTCCAGCTATTAAAATCATAAAATGAAATATGATAAAATACCATATAAAATGTAAAACTACAGTATAAAATAAAAGTAACCAGATGTGGAAGAGTTCCTGAGGGACTGTCTAGTTCTGGATGAAGGGACCCAGATTACTGCATGCTAATCTGCTAAACTGACACTGCCTGGAAAGGGCACAGCAAGTCAAGTGCCTGGCATCTTACTGATTTCTGATCAGAGGAAGTACACATGCAATGCAAATCTCTTTATAGTAAAAGGACATTTGTTATCCAAGAATCTGCAGCAAGGAAATGGTGCCTCAGTTTTCAGGGAGTGTATTTATTGCTTTTATACTCCATCTATGTATAAAAATTGCATTCAAGGTTATTCAGTATAGAGTTAGGAGTATAGCTTTTGTAGGATTATGTATTATTGCTTCCATAATTTTATTATGTAAAATTTAGGTGTGTAGACAAAACCTATGCAAGTTAGAGTCTTGAAAATCTCAGTGCTAATAAGTTATTTTAAAATAACATAAATCAGACTTTTCAGGGAAACAAAATGTAAATTATTACATTAAAAGTTATGTAAAACAGTTAACTTTCTGTCTCTAATAAATGTAGTGTCATTGGGCAGGACTGCTTGCAGGGTCCAATTGTATGCATATTTACTTGGAATATACCATTGAATTTAGTAGCCTTACTTCCAAATGAGTATGCACTGGATTGAAGCCTTTGAATTATGAAGGAAAAACCCAGACTCTCTCAAGAGTATCTTCAATCAATTGAAGAAAGTAAGGCTGTTTATGAGCATGGCAGAAACTGACAGTAGGGTTCAAGCTGGTGAATAAAGATTACCGTGACCCTAATATGGTTTTTCATTGTTGAGAGACAAATTTCCTTGTGAAGGTGTTTTGACAGTACAGTCCTCTTTTTTAAAAAAAGTTATTAAGCTGTAATGGTTATTTTTAAAAAGGCATAAGTGCTGAGGCTGGCCTAAGTGGGGGAACTCAGCATTTTGAGATCCAGTTAACTATATTAATTGAAGTTGATCAGACTCCTCCTCATCAAAGAGAATATATGGTAAATCTGGATGGCTCATACTTGTCACATGATTAATATGTATCCCAGTAGTAGCAGTGCTGGAGTGGGGTAATATCTCTACATGTACCTGTCTGAGGAGTTAATCAATGTGTTATGGATTGGGGACAGCAGTCCAAAATAAAAATAACTTGGATGAGTGTTGCTTGCATTACAATCAGTGTAGTAGAATTAACCAAGATGATTTTATTTTATGCACATGAGACTTAATTAGTCACATTTTCAAGTATATCTTTATGAATTTCCCTCAGAAAGTATGCACATTTTATCTAAAGCACCTAATTTTGTGCCATTTTGTCTTGGCTTTGTTGTAAGTAATGATTAATTTTAGTGCAAAACATCTTTGAAATAAAATTATATATATTCTAAATTAATAATTTACTTCTTCATTTGACAAATAATCTTTCTTTCTAATTTTAGGGGAAGTCTGCTTTGTGGTCACACTTGTTACATTACCAAGAAAATCGTCAGCGAAAACCTACATCAGGAAGTTTCAGTACCTCAGGTACAGTTAGCTTGCTTAAAGAATATGAACAATAGTGTCATGTTCAGGAGGAAAAATCATGAAGAAAAGTGATGGCACCACACACTGATGCAAAGCAGTTTTATTGATACCAAAAAGAGCTATTTAGTCTTCTTTCAGTGAATATTACTAGCTAGAAGGGAAGTGTTCTGCTTGGCATCACTATTGTCTTAAATGAAAAGCAATCCACTCAGAGAGGTGCAGAATTTCCATGTCATAATAATCCACCCTGGCAATAAGCCACAGTGGATTGGTTGTAGTGCGAACAACCCACAGTGTGCTTGACAGACAGTTGGGCTCATTTTGGGTTGCTTGGCCCTCACTCCCCCCCCCGCCCCCGGTTCTTCCACAGATTTCCCAGAGAAGTCCATCACAGTACCGACTTGGCTGCTTTTCCATTACTACAACCAAGAGTCCTTTTGTGGTCATTTCTCATTTTTAAACTTTTATTTTCAGTTGACACCCAATTTTGGCAATTCCTGTTTTTATAACCAGTGACAGCTTCTTCAAAGTGTCCAAGTAGCACATTAGAAGGGATGTCAGTGTTGGTGACTGCAGCCAAGAAATTAAAAGACACTTGCTCCTTGGGAGGAAAGCTTTGGCAAATCTAGACAGCATACTAAAAAGCAGAGACATCTGCCGACAAAAGTTTGTATAGTCAAGGCTATGGTTTTCCCAGTTGCAATGTATGGCTATGAAAGTTGGACCATGAGGAAGGCTGAGCACTGAGCAAATGAGGCCTTTGCATGGTGGTGCTGGAGAAGACTCCTGCGAGTCCCTTGGACTGCAAGGCGATCAAACCAGTCAGTCCTAGAGGAGATCAACCCTGGCTGCTCTTTAGAAGGCCAGATACTGAAGATGAAACTCAAATACTTTGGCCACCTAATGGGAAGGAAGGACTCACTGGAGAAGAGCCTAATGCTGGGAATAATTGACAGCAAAAAGAAAGGGGACGTCAGAGGATGAGGTGGCTAGATGGAGTCACTGAAGCAGTTGGCATGAGCTTAGGTGGACTCTGGGGGATGGTGGAGGACAGGAAGGCCTGGAGGAGTGTTGTCCATTGGGTTGTGATGGGTTGGATGCGACTTCGCAACTAGCAACAACAACAGTGGTGGGGAGACTTTTTTTAATTATGCCTACAAATGTGTGCAAACACTTTTTGTGATTTAAAAACAGGAGAATTAGCCACACTCATGCAAGTGTGGAGGTGCATATTTATGTGAGTGCAGAAATTGAGAATCTTAGCTGGGAAATGTCCTGGGAGGGTACCTGCTTTCAAAATGCATTTAATATCAACTTTGGATATTGACCTAAAAAGACTCCAAACAGAATACACCTTTGGTTTGCTTTCTCCTGCCAGCTGTCACAAGGTGAACACATTAAGGGATCTTTACTTGCAAAAAGGGGGCGATGATATTTAAAGCCTCTTTCAGGGAAAATCCTCTTATTTTTCTTTTTTTGCCTTGTCATGAGGCTGATGCACATTTTCCCTCTGCTGGACCCTTTCTAATTTTTTTGCATCTTTCTTAAATCTTGGTGCCCAGAACTGGACGCAGTATTTCAGGTGAGGTCTGACTAGTGAGGAGTATAAAGGAACTACTACTTCTTGTGATTTGGAAATAATACTTCTGTTAATGCTATGTTTACTGTGGTTCTCTAAGAGTTGTAAAACCTGTCTGAGAAGGCAGTTGAATGGGACAGAACTAAAAGGGCTGCTTTGGGTGCTATATACAGATTTCATGGCTAGGAAGGAAATGGAGAGGAAACTTACACTATATTTCCTCTCCGTTTACTCTTCAGATATTAAATCATGGGCAACAAGCTTTCCTGATAACCACTGGCTCATTCTACAGGTTTTCAATGAAATCAAATATCTGTTTACTGGCTAAAATTTAAAGCATTTACATTGTTGACAAAGAATATTTGATACCTTTTTTTAGGAATTCTTCTAGATGCAGAAAGAAGAAAGTCAGATGCCAGCCCAGTAATGTCTCCCTTGAAAGTATCACTGATCCAGGACATGAGGTTGGATTTTAAAATTGTAAAGACATGCGTGAGAGGTTCACACATACTTTTAGAAAAGCCAGATTTAAAACAGTTCCTGTAAAGACTTTCTCATTAGTATATTATTTTGAGATGGCCAGCATAATTCTAAGCATTTTGTTCAAAAATAGGTTCCAGTGTGTTCAAAGATGTTAAGTTCCTAATAAGAGAGTTCAGTTTTGCATAACTTCACCTAAGTCACACCATCACCACCTTCATAAATTTAAAATGAGTCCTTAAAATCATCCTGCCTCACAGAGAAAAGATGAAGGCCTGGTTTAGACAGGATAGAATACTGTTATGCAAACCATTAAGGCAAAATACCTTGTGGGGCTGAGATGTACAAGTTTATTTTAGCACAGACTTTCATAGGTAAAATCTGCTTCATCAGGTTCACTCATATTTTGCATTGGAATGTTCAGAGCTCAGTTTAATAAGCTGAGATACATATGAATGGGCTTTGTGCACCCACATGCAGCTGCTTTTCTCTTTTCACATGAGCAGGAAGCAGTTAATCTAGGAATCCTTCCTTTTTATTGCATCTGAAACAGGAATTATGGACAATAGCTTTTAAAAGGCCAGGATGTGGAAACCAGTTTTCACAGATGGCTTCAAGATTTGTTCTCAGTATATGGGCACACATCTACTCACAAATAAACACACCCACACTTTGGAGGGAAAAAAAAATCAGTTAATTGTGTAAGTTGTTGTTTAATTACCATTTCCATTCCACTTCATGCATTTAAAGTGGCTTCTTAGCAACTATCACATAATGGTAAACTGGCCACTGTGACATACATCCTGTTTGGGCTTCTGTTTTGTGCATGACTCTTTTGCTACAACAGCATCACCAGCTACTTAACTAGTCTGTTTCTGTACAAAATTCACAGTTCTAGTTATGACCTATAAACCTACAGTTTTATGAATGTGTAATGTTTCTATACTACTTTTCCACAAAGGTGTACTTTCCACCATAGTACACCAAAGTACACCATAAGGTGGTGTACTGCAATTAAATATAACAACAATAATAGCATCAAACAACAGTAAATCTTATTAAGGGGCAAACCTATGGGTTGTGTCCGTATGAGATGGAAGGCTTTGAACTTGGAGATGTCTGTGTTTCAGTATCCATGCAAAGCTATTACTGACAGGGCAGATGATGGAGACATTTTTGGAGAGGGTGCACTGTTGGAGATGTGACTGGGGCTAAGCAGACAATATTGTTGTTACATGCTATTAAATCACCTCTGGTTTATGGTGACCCTGTGAATGAAAATCCTCCAGAATGTCCTGTCCTTAGCAAGTTTGCTCAGCTCTTGTAAATACAAGTCTGCAGCATGGAATTGATCCATCTCATAGTTGGTCTTCCTTTTCTTTCCCTTCTTTCAACTTTCCCTAGCGTGATTGTCTTCTCCAGTAAGTTTTGCTTCGTCATGATGTACTCCAAGTACAACAGCTTCAGTTTCATCATTTTCGCTTCCAGGGAAAGTTCTTGTTTGATTTGATCTAGGACCCACTTGTTTGTCTTTTTATTGGTTAAAGTAATTTGCGAAGCTATTTCACAGCACTATGTTTTGAAAACATCAATTTTCTTCCTGTCAGCTCTTTTCACTGTCCAGCTGTTATGCCCATACACAGTGTTCAGGAATACAATGGACTGGATGATATTGGCTTTGATCTCCACTGAAATGTCCTTACATTTGATGATTTTTTTTTCTAGTTGCTTCATTGCTTTCCTTAACGTCTCAGGCCTCAGGGAGGCCCCTTCTGACTCGCTCTGTTTCTATGTTTCTTTGAATTTCTTGGCTGTAGTTTCCCTTTGAACTGATGATTGAGCTGAGGTATGCAAAACCTTTCACAATTTCAGTTTCTTCACTGTTGATACTCAAGTTGTGCAATTCTTCTGTAGTTATGATTTTTGTTAATGTTCAGCTGCAGTCCTGCTTTTTTACTTCTCTCACTTTAATCAGAAATAATTTCAGTTCATTGCTCCTTTCTTCCAGTAATATGGTATCATCTACGTATCTTAAATAATTGATGTATCTTCCACCAATTTTCACTCTTTCTTCCTCTGATCCTAATCTGCCTTTGCTTATGGTATGTTTTGCATGTACATTGAATAGATAGGAAGATAAAATGCACACTTGTCTGATGCCTTTGCCTATAGGAAATCTTTCCATTACTCCATATTCTGTCCTAACAATAGTTTTCCATTCATGATACAGGTTACATATAGAGACAATCAAGTACTGAGGCCTTTCTTGCATTGGAAGTTAATGCAGTGTTTTAAAGCAACCTATAATTGCTGTACTTATTTGCATCTTTCTTGGGAACTGGAATGTATATTGAATATTTCCAGACTGTAGGTCGTTGTTTTATTTTTCATATTTTTGGCATATTCTAATTTGGATTTTGATCAATTCAGTCTTTGCAGTTCTATTGGTTCCCTATCTACTCTGGGTGATTCATTCCTTCCAAGGAAGGAACAGCTTTCACTTAGCTTTCTAATATTGCAGATTTTTCCTCATATGATTACTCTTCAAAGGAGTCTGCAATCTTACTTCTTGGATGTGGTCTCTTCTATTTCCTTTTTTGTTGTTCTCTTCTATTTCTTTGCACAGGCTTATGTAATAGTTCTTTGTGTCACTATGTGATAGTTGCTGAAAGTAGTATTCAGGATTCTGACCCTATTTCTGTCACTGTTTGCTTTTGCTGCTTGCCTGTCTTTAGCAATTGTGGGTGTTTCTTCTTTCACCCATTTAGGGTTTTTCTTTCTTTTTGCTACAGGAATTCTTTTAGCATTCTTCCTTAGTAATGGTTTCAGTCCATAGTTTTTCTTGTTCATAGTTAATTGAGTTCACTAAAGCTATTGCTAATCTGTTCTTTATGAGGATTTTAAATTCCTCAGGGATGCTATTTAGCTTGTATTTTTGCTATGCTTCTGTTAGTGATCTCTCTTAGCTTTACTCTAAAATTTTATATAAATAGTTCATGGTTGCTACTACAATCTGCCTCTGGTCTTGTTTTGGCAGCGAGAATACAGATTTCCAATTTCTTAGTTTCCAGTTATTTTCCAGTTTTGATTTCTATATTGGCCATCTGGTTATGTCCATGCATGTAGTTATCTATTCATTTAACTGAAGTCTGCATTTGCAGTAAACAGATGGTTGGTTTCAAATAATTCTCTGAGTCATTCTCTTCATTCATTTCTAACCACTAGGTCAAATTTTCGTACAACATTTAATTCTGCTTTGTTTCCTACTGTTGCATCCCAGTCACCTATCAGCATGCTCTGTTTGAATGCGTTATCAGTTTCCTTTTGGACTCTTGCATAAATGCTTTCAATTACTTCTTCTTCAGCATCTGTTGTTGGTGAGTAGACTTGAATGTTATTTATGTTGATAGGTTTTCTGAGAATTCTGATTGATATTATTTGGTCAGGCTTTGCATTAGAGCCCCTTATTGTCTGTGCTACATCTTGCTTCAGTATATGAGCCACTAATTTTCTCCTGAGTTTGTCATTTCTAGAGTAAAACACTCTTGTTTGGTTTTTACTGAAAATGCTCCATTCTAGTCCACTTTAGTTCACTTACATCCATACAGCAATGTTTAAACATTTCGTTTCTTGCTTTATGATTACCTGTTTGCCTTGATTCATATTTCTCACATTCCATGTTCCAATTGCATCTGTTGTGCTGCATCAGGCTTTCCTTTCACCTCTGTGCATGACAGACAGCAGACTTGCTTTTGATTTTGATCAAGTTTGGCCTTTGCTGTTCGCCATTAGTTGGTTGACTATCTTATGACTGGGAGTCTCATCTTCTGGCACTATTTTTTGTTTCATTTTGGATATTTTCATCACAAGGTTTTCAAGATAAGAAATATTCAGAAGTGGTTTACTATTGCTTTCTTCTGTGCAATACTAAGCAGTATCTCTCCCTCCGTGCGCTGTTTGCGCCCGTCTCTTCCTCCCCTAGTGCGCCTGTGATCACAGCCGTCTCTCCCCCCCCACCCCCCAGTGTGCTGGGATGACGGGCGCCTGCAGGGATGATAGGCGCGATCTCGGTTGTGCTGGGGGGGCGGGGGGGCAGGGAGATGGCTGTGCTTGTGCTCGGGGTGGAGGGAGGGGTAGATGGTCGCGATCTTTGTTGTTGTCACTTTGCTCCACATTTTTCTGATTTAAAAAATGGTTACAGAATGGATTAACCTTATTTACATTGAACCTTATGGGGAAATTTAACTTGGCTCACAACCAGTTTGGGTCACGACCAGAGTCCTGGAACAGATTAAATTCATGACCCAAGGTACCACTGCATTTTGACCTCTCCTTTACCCTACCCTCTTAGCAGAATGCCCTGCTTTGCAACTTCAGGAAACTGCTGGCATGGTTCTTTCCACAGCAATTGTGTGGGGGACAGGAAAGGGAGCAGGGAGAGGGATCAGATATTGGAATTCTTCTTTGTGGTCTCTGTGAATCACATATATGGACCTGAATGGAACTTTTTAACAGGAAGATTTAGTGTCTAAGAGCATTTTGGCAGGGACTCCTCCCCCACCTTCAGTGCCTCAAGAAATTCTTTCCTCTGTAATACTTTTTTTCCTACTTCCAACACTTTTTTGCTTTGGAAAAATCTTAGTGTCTTTCTTGATAAACCTGTTTTTTCTTCTTCTTGCAGGTTTCCACAAATAGCTCTTTATCTACTTGCCATTAAAAAACTAAAAAAAGAGAACACCCCCCCCCCTTTGTGATCCTACACTATTCCAAACCTACCTTGCTCTTTTCTTCATTTTTTCACTTTCCTTTGTTGTCTCCTTCTTGATGGCATCAAAGTCTCCCTTATACAAATGTGTGTGGTATGGCTTAAATAAATAACAGGGTAATTTGATCTTGCCACCATGTACCAGCTTGCAACCTAGCTGATGCATTTGGCACCAACTAAAGTTGTGATGGATTTCAAGGATTGCCATATTTAAGTACATTTAATAGCCTGCATGACTTGGGATCAGGCTGTTTGAAAGATTACATTCTTCCATATGAGTCCGCCTGAGGTTTAAGATTCTTGTGCCATGCCTTTTTCTTTTTCCTGCTCCTATCAGAGGCATATTCAGTGGGAACATGGGAGTGGGCCTTCTTGGTGGCTACTTCCAGTTTCTTTAGCACCCCGACAATGAAGATCAGACTTTGTCCATTCAGTGGTAGGCAAATACATTTCTATTTTGTCAGGCATTAGACATGTAAGCTGATTGTGTCTGAAGTAGATTTTAATCTGGTGGTGCCAAAATTTCTTTCTTATTGATGTGCTTTAATGTTTTAATTATATGTTTGTTGTTTTATTTATGTGTTACTTATACCCACCTTGAGCACAATTTTAGTAGAAAGGTGAGATAGAAATTTAGTGAATAAATAAACAAATTTCTAACATACACATGGTTTGTTGTCTTCTTTTTTGCAGCACATTAATACCACTACCTCTTTAATTTGCAAGGTCTAAAAATGTTTCCTAAGTACTGGATACAAAAAGTGAGCTGAACTTGTTTGTCAGTTAGACCTCTTCCTCTTTTTGTAGCTGTTGGATTTCAGCATATATATATAGATATGCTGAGCCGGAAGATTTGAACAGTTGCATTTAAAATGTAATTACTAAGCAGCTTCAGTAGATACTACTAGTAATATCTTTTCACTTAACTTTTATTTCACAGCAGAGGAATCTTGACAACTTTTAGTTGTACTTGTCATTGCTTATAAACACATTATAATTTTAGTTTCTGAGGTATCTGCATGTTCCCTCTAAATGCAAGATCCAGTAAAATGTATTGTGAAATTCATTCAGTAGTACTGTACACAGATTGTGGCATTGCTTTTTCTAGTAATAATCTACTCGTGATATATTAAATAGTACCTGTGTTTCTGCAGTAACAGATTAATTATGCTATTGGGCAATATTCAAATAATTCAGAACTCTCCTTGTAGACTGTTTCCTTAGTGTCATTTGGGAAGTGACATTGTATTATAATATTGTAACATTATGATGATCATATAATTCCTTCTAATATTATAATAATCAAATTACATTACATTACATTACATTACATTGTGGAAGCATTTTTCATCAGTGTATGAATTCTAATGTGTCAGGTGTACTAATATATCCTCTCCTGTCAGAACAACACATTCAGCAAGTGCCAGTGGAGAGGGAACAGCCTTCCATTATATGGGTTATATCCAGAGAACTGCTGGTAGAAGGGCTGGCCTGAAGCTCAGTTTCCCACTTTCCTCTGAAAGCCCCTAGGGCACTCTCCTTAGTCTTCCATGAGTCAGAAACCCCCGCTGAATTGGGTGGGCTGTGGCATGAGAACCTGAGAAAGAAGGTTCTCAGATGAACCATCTTGGGGGAAGATGAAGATGTGGAAGTCATCCCTGTTCAATTTTCAGCAATTCCCCCATGTCACTGCATACTATTTATTTATTTAGTATCCCGCCCTTTACAGTGTCTCAGGGCAGCTCATCATGGCACTTTTGCCCTGACTGACAAGTGAGGCATGTGGGGAAACTACTGAAGAAGCTGGGGATGGGAAGGAATCCTTCAGTTCATCCCATTCTTTCAGCCCTAGATCCAACCTGTAGAATCCTGAAACCGAAGATAATAGTGTAATAGTGTATGTAACACTGCTTGAAACTTTCTAATACTGTTTTCTTTTCTGGAAACAAAGTTTATTGTTGATTCATGGTTGCTGAACATTTCCTACATCTCTAACAGGTCACTCTACTTTTCTAAGCATGACATGTTCATGTCACAATGTGGTGGCTTATTGTGTAACAATTGGCTATTGAAAATAGAACAGATTACTGTTCCTTTTAATCATTACTACCAGAATACATATTGTTCAAGATGTAAGGTTATGTTTCATTCCTAAGTGAGGTGAGATCACTTATCATGAGACATGACCATCTCAACTGGGTACTTATTTTGAGGAAAGAAAGGGGTGCCCCTCTTAACATACCTTTTATTGGTTAGTAAGAAATAAGAACTTTACTTGATTGCACCAAGGGTCTATCTAGTGCAACATTCTGTTCACACGCTGGTCAACCAGCTGCTCAGAGGAAACCAACAAGCAGAACACAAGTGCAGCACCACCCTCCTGCCCAAGTTCCCTAGTAACTGCTGTACATACTTTGAATACTTTTTATTATTGTTTGTGAATATTTTCTTCTGCTGTTGTGGTTTGCTGGTATCTTTAAAACACAGAATGGGACATATGCACAAAGGGAATTAAATTTCCCCCACTCGTTGAACTTCTAGAAGTGAGTTCATACTAGAAATGAGTTGAACCAGAAGCAATGGAGTGCAGTAATATTAAACAAGGGAGGGAGTACTGTTTTGCTCCCCTCAAGCATATGTTCCCACTTTGAATGTCAGCCTACCTCAACAGTAAGTCCCAGCAAACACCAGCTTGGAGGGTTATTGTACATGAATCAGGTAGATGTGAATTTAAAAAAATGGTAATCTAGAGTAGGGATGAACAGAAAATAGATCTGCAGATTTTTGGGATTTCAGCTCCTAGCATTCCTAACCTCTGGCCATCTTCTCAAGGTATATTAACAGCTGAAGTTCAAAATTGATAGCTGGAGATCTACCTTGAGCCTACCCCTGATTGAAAGGTGTAGTGTTGTGTGACCTTTAGTGTTCTGTGAAATGATTGTATTACAACATTACTGATTCTCAGTTAATCTTGTGAGCTTGAGCAGACATTTTGGGAAATATTTCCAAAAAAGATAACAGGCTGGTTTACAATTGTTTATGGACCTTAACAACAAGAAGTGCTTTTTTTTAAAACCTTCTTTAACAATTGAATAGTGCAGACAATCATTTCCCTTAACAGTTTACATTCTTGCAAAACTAATTCACTAATACAATGAAAGTTAAGATGCTAACACTGAAATCTTTTCTTCCTTTTCAGGCATATCCAGAATATTAGTGAGATCAAAACAGATGTTGGTAAGGCCAGAGCTTGGGTTCGGCTCTCCATGGAAAAGAAATTACTCTCCAGACACCTGAAACACCTTCTCTCAGATCATGAACTCACAAAGTAAGTTAGAGTAACATGCAGAACTACTCAGCTTAATTGAGACCTGCTGGTTTGCATTTCTTTTTAAACAGATTTGCCAAAGTTTTTAATAAAGCTAATAATATGCAACATATACTGGCTGAGTCTGATAGTTCTTTAAGAAACAGTATAGGCTTGAAATAAAGATGTTTGATAGGCTGCATTGAGATTTGGGTATAATCCTTCATTTTCTATGTTGCCTTAAATTGGTTAGCTATCAAGGTCAGAATGTCAAAAATGAAAAAGTTAAATTGCACTCCCTAAAACACAAAAATGTCCTTTGTGTTTGAGTTGTTCTAAATTACGTTATGGCGTCCCACAGGATTCTGTTCTGCCCCACATGCTTGTAAATATCTGTATGAAGCTCCTGGGAGAGGTCATGAGGGGATTTGGGGCAAGGTGTCTGCAGTATGCTGATAACACCCAACTCTATTTCTCCTTCTCATTGGACTCAGGTGAGGCCATGCAGGTGCTAGATTGCTGCATGGAGACAGCAATGAATTTAATATGGATTAGTAAGCTTAGAATGAACCCTGACAAGATGGAGATCTTATAGGTTCTTGGTCCTGGTAATAGTGTAGGTGGCCTTTCCTTGATGGAGTAGCATTCCATTTGAAAGAGAAGGTGCCATAGTCTAGAGCATGGGTCCTCAAACTATGGCCCGCAGGCTGGATCCAGCCTGCCATGCCCATTGATCAGGCCCGCCATAGCTTGCCACGCATGCATGTGCATGCGTGCATGGTGAGGCACCGGCTTGCTCACAAGGAGATCGTTTTGGACTTGTTGGGAGAAAATGATCTCTGAGCATGCATGCCCCTGCCTTTCTGCATGTGCGCACACATGCGCGCACCCCCCAGCCTGGCCCACGCCCTCTGCCCACACCACCTTAGTGGCCCACGCCCATCCCTGGCACCTTTCAACTGGCCCCCTATTCAAAAAGTTTGGGGACCCATGGTCTAGAAGCATTCCTCAATTCATTTTCAGCACTGAAGACCTGGCTACAGCTGTTTCTAGAGTCAGCTACCATGACTCATGCTCTAGTAACCTCATATGTGGATAACTGGAATATACTTTAATACTTGAAAACAATCCAGAAGACATAGCTGGTGCAAATGTAGCTGCTAGACTGCTGACAAGGAATAATCTTTAGTTCATGAATATAAGGAGTCTAAGACCTATTGAGGTCTTTGCTCTGTTGTTAATTAAGCTGACCTTCAAGAGAAAAAGTTCTTTATAGAGGAAAAAAGGGTGTAAGTCAGTCTACCGGAGACACTGCTCTTGACATAGTGCAAGCACCAAGACAGAAGTTGCATTCACCCACAGTACAAATGTCATGAACTGTACAGTTTACAAGTGTCCAACAGTCAGTACAGCGCAGACCACATAGTGTGGTGCTTGTTAGTGTTTATTCAGTTCATGGCCATACAAGAAATACATATGGTGTCCCAGAACAGAGAGCACTTTTCTTAACTTTTAAATCTTGATATCAATCCCATAATTGCATGCATTATATAACCAGTGGGTAGAGCAGAAACAATCTTTGCTGTAGCTGCTTTTCTTCCTAAAAATGCACCTAAAAGTTAGCCTAGCAACAGCATAAATTCCCTGTACCTACAAAAATCAGAAGAAAGTATCCTTCCAATTCTTTTTCAGGGATTTTTTTCAACAAGAAAATGAAATGTTGAAGGACATAACTCGCTGAAAGGCTTTTTTTGACATGAATGAAATTCTTGTAAGGGCATGATTGTTACTCAAAATGTAAAGTGTATACTATAAAATGTATAGTGTACTATATTATGAACAACAATCTGCAGTACTAGAGATAAATAGTGTTATTTATTTATCGTTGCTCTTCTATACTGCCCCAAAGCCACATCTCCCTAATCATGTTGCCAAAATTAAAACCTTAAAATGCAACATGATATAATATAAAACTGTAAAAGTTTAAACCAGATTAAAACCAGAGTGAAAAACAGCAGCAATGAAAGCTCTAAAAACACATTACCTCATTTAGGACACTATCTCATGCATAGATAGAAAAAAAGAAAGCTGGCTGAGGAATGCTGGAAGTTGTAGAACCTCTTCTGTCTAAACATGCCATAGGATTGCACCCTTAAGAAATCTGAAGGATTGAAAAACCTGTGTATACAATAGACACATACATGCTCAAATCCAATATGCAATTCTGCATGTCGATGCAGCATGGCAGTCAATGCTGCTGTCATTTTCATGCAGGGAACAAACAAGGCTTTCATTGCTTTTCATTTTGGCATCTCAACAGCAGAATATAGTGTATGTGCTAAGGTAGCATAGCGTGGAGAAGTTTGCAGTACTTTCCCCATTACTGAATATATTGCATGTTTGCTTTTAAAAAACTAAGACTGCAATCCTATGTACTATTAGGCAAAAATAAATCCTAAAATCCCAACATACCTGATTGTGCCTTAAGGCATTTATTTATGAAGACTATAATGTTATGTGTGCTTACCTGGGAGTAAGCTTTATTAAACTGAGTCTGTTTTATTTCTGAGTAAGAGTTTAGCATATTTCAATTTCCCCCATAATTTGTTTCTGAAGCAAAAATCAGTTTTTTTCCCAATTGATTCAACATTTCTGAACAGTTTACATCTCTGCATGGGTTTAGAACCTTCCTTAGAAACACCACTTCTGTATTTCTAAAATACACTCCAAACCTCATCCTTTTTGTATAACACAGATGTACCAAACAAGCGTTGTTAAGTGAAATGTTATTCATAACTGAAACAGTTCAGAAGATATATTTGTGCATAAAACCTTTGTGGAGTAAGGAGGCTGAAAACAATACTATACTCGTGCATTTATACTGTAATTTTTATATGTTGGTTATATAAATATGCCTATTAGAAGCACTTTGCCTGAAAGCCTGGTTACAGAGCAATTTTTTCATTTTTGGATCAGAAAACTTTACAAACGCTATGCTTTCCTCCGCTGTGATGATGAGAAAGAGCAGTTCCTTTATCATCTTCTGTCCTTCAATGCTGTTGATTACTTTTGCTTTACCAATGTTTTTACAACCATCTGTAAGTATAACTTTTCATCATTGAAAAAAATAACAAAAAGTCCTATGACAGTGTAAAAACTAAAAAAATGTTTTGGCATAATTTTTTCTGGACATTTCATGGTGGGAGACTACCATTGTCAATACAGTATGGTGTAGAACTGGGATTCAGTAGATCTCAGTTCTGGTCCCCATTCAGCCATGCAGCTAACTGGGTGACTTTGGGCAGTCACAGACTCTCAGCCCAACCTACCTCACAGAACTGTTGTTGTGAGGATATGATTGAGAGGAGGCAAATATGTAAACTGCTTTGAGTTCCTTGAAAGGGAAAAAGGCAGAAGATAGATATAATAAATGCCCCTTTTGAGAGGTAATAGTGAGTTGACATCCAGTTACCTTCGTTCACTAACGGATTGGTTTCTGTCATGAGAATGGGAAGAGATTCCTCTTCTCCCTGCAGAGCCCCCCACCTTCAAGATCTGCTTCAGGTAATGAGGAACCCTCTGGGGAAGCCCACATCCAATCCATTACCATGCTGAGACACTGCCTGGTGAAGAAGAGAGATAGAACAGAGTAACATCTGCACATTGGTGGTACCTCAGTCTATACCTCTGTATAACCTCCCCCAGTGGTTTCATGTAGATGTTAGATAGCACAGGGGATAAAATGGAACCCTGCGGAACTCCATGGCAAAGCTGCCATGGTGCAGAACAGTATTCACCCAGCACCACCTTCTGGAATTGGCCAGTCAAGTAGGAACAGAACCCTTGCAGTGCAGTGTCTCCTACTCCTAGCCTGGCTAGCCTATCCAGAAGGATACCATGGTTGGTGGTATCAAAAGCTGCTGAAAGGTCCAGGAGAATCAATAGGCTTGCACTCCCCCTGTCTTTTTCCCAGCACAGGTCATCCTGCAGGGCAACCAGGGGACTCTCCATTCCAGAACCAGGTCTGAAGCCTGACTGATACTGATCTAGATAATCCATTTCTTTCAGGAGTGCCTGGAGCTGTTCACCTACCACCAGCTCAAGCACCTTGCCTAGGAAGGGGATGTCGGCCACTGGTCTATAGTTGTTAATATCCTCTGGGTCCAGGTTAGGCTTCTTAAGGAGTGGTTTAATTACAGCCTCTTTTGAAGAGACTGGCACCATTCCCTCTCTCAGGGAGGCATTTATTACCTCCTGGACCCAAATCCCTTCCTTAGCTCTTCTAATAAACCAAGACAGGCGAGGATCGAGCACACAGGTGGCTGGCCAGACTTGGCCAAGCACCTTGTCCACATCCTCAGACCTCAATAATGAAGCTCATCTAATAAAACTGGACCAGATGATGCTCTCAGTGGCTCTGTTGGTGGAACTGCATTAATTGTGGTGTCCAATTCATAATGAGTAAAGTGACTTTATCTCCAAAGTGGTGTGCAAATTCATCACATTGAGCTACTGAGGACTCCATAATTTCTTTCTCTAATCCAGTGTACAATGGGCCACAGACTACTCAGAAAAGCTGTGCTGGATGACACTGAGAAGATGCAATGCTGGTGGAAAAGAACTGTCTCTTTGCCACCCTCACTGCCACACAGTAGGCTCAGTAATGAGCTCTAGCCTGTGTTCAGACTCAGCACAAGTTTTTCTCCAGCTGCACTCTAGCCACAAAGTCCTGAACTGCCCCGGATAAAGCACCCTCACCATGGAAGCTAAGAACCCCCAGAACCATAATCCTGGGCATCCTCAACACCATGTCCAAGACTACCTCTTTCAGCTCAGGCAGGGAATCTGAAGGGCAGAGGAGTGTGTGGTACACCAGCAGAATCCCTAATCTGTCTCAAGCACCCAGCACCCAGCACCAGGTACAAGCACTCAAGACCCACACTGAAGCGAACACAAAGCCTAGAGAGGGAGATCGTATTCCTATAGACCATGGCTACCCCCCTCCCAGACCCTTGAGTAACTGCAGGTCCTGTACCAAGTACGCAGAGGTACAAAGCTGAGAAAGAGTAACCCCCCAGCTCATGCACCCCTATCTCAGTGATGCAAGCTAGGTCAGCCCCCTCATTCACAATCAAGTCATGTATCAGGGATGTCTTATTCTGGGCTGACCTGGCATTCAACAGCAGCACCAGATCGGAGGGTAGGTGCGTAAGGCTACTAGGAATCATCCAGCTGGAGGAAAAACCAGAAGAGGGGATAGCTGTGATATATCTAACTCCTCTTCTCCTCAGCTAGCTTGTCCTCAGTCAAGCTCCTCAGTCCCCCAACACCATACCTTCCCCTGCCCATGACCACAGTAAAGGGGGATCCTGCTTGCTCCCCAAAGTCATCCAAATACATAATTAAAATGTATATGATAAAAACAATAAAGGCACCAGACAAACCAGCTGCTACACCTCTACGCTGATCAATAGCAACTGCTGTGAGACTGTCTTCTTCCCCTGCCAATGCCCCTCAGCACTACCCTTGAGCTGCTGCCCAAGACTGTTGTCCTGGTCTTGGCTCCATAAAATAGCCACTAGTGGTAGGGTCCAGCCTCTGGAGAACAGTTGCTACCTCTCCAACCTGGGCAGGCAGGGCAGGGAAGGCAGACATATACAGAAAATATTATTATTAAAAATGTTGCCCTACCCAACAGACCTTTTTACAGGTTAAAGGCCCTCTCAGCTGTCTCTGCCTGACAACAGAAGGGCAGCAGAGAGGGAGCAGTCACTGAAAGAGCCTGCTCTTACCACCAAGCACACCTCTGAAGGTGATGGTCTTGAAAGAAGGACCTCTCCAGATCGGAAGAACCTGGCAGGCTCATATGGGATACTGAACATACTGCATACAATATGTGAAACAGACTTATAGCTACCTATATTCTGGGAGGAGCAGGGGCCATATCAGAGAGGTGAAGACTGTATTAGACTATAGCATTAGACTAAAATATTAGGGCACAATCCAAGAGGACTGCTAGAAGCTCTCTGATTACAGGCATCTTATGCAGAGCTGGAGGAATGCAAGAGTGAAAGTCTCCATATTTCTCTTGCTCTGTTGATTGGATTATGCTATAAAGGTTTTACTGTGGAACAGATGCCTGTTTAGGTTAGCCTGAATAATTCTCTCATTTCACCCAGAATCTAAAATATAATTGTGGCTTCCCCTCTTACTTGGAATTGTTAAATGAGCTATTAAACAGGACTTTAAATGCAGTGCTTCTCAAACTGTCTAATTTTGGACCCACCAGTAAAATCAGCATGAAATCAGATGTTAGTGTGTTTGCTAAACATAGGCTTACTGGTTGGTTATAAATAAGAAGTGTGGTTTTCTACTCTTATCACTAAATGTAGCAAATGTTTAGCCCTATTCCATAAGTTTTCACTTAAAATTTCTAATTTTAATAAACAACATTTTCTTTTGCATTTTATTTTTGCATGAATATTTAATAAGAGTACAATATCTCAGATTCTTATTCTTCTGTATAAAAGGTAATTATATTCTTCTGTATAAATGGTAGTTGCATTTGGACACTTACTTAATTTAGCCAGGTTGTTTCTTGTGTTTACAGTGATTCCATACCATATACTGATTGTTCCTAGCAAAAAACTTGGTGGCTCAATGTTCACAGCCAATCCATGGATATGCATTTCAGGAGAGCTAGGTGAAACAGGTGTCCTACAGATCCCAAGGAATACATTGGAAATGACGTTTGAGGTATGGCTTAATGGCATAGAGCATCTTTCCCTAACCTGGTTGTCTTCAGATGGAATTCATCACCCATGAATGTCAGCCAGCACCACCAATGGTCACAATACTGGGAACTGAAATCTGTTTGGAAGGGTACCAGCCTGACTAAGGCTTGTACAGAGGATACCAAAATGGAAAATTATGAGACATGATAGCTATTATGTAAAATTTGTACTTCTGTTTTTTAATTTCATTTCATTTATTATATGTTCATATCTCCCAAAAGCAAAAGTTATCTGGGCAGTGTACAAAAATTAAAGCTTTCAAAATACATTATAAAAATCATAGACATACAAACATATACACATATGAGAGAGAGAGAGAGAGATTTTAAACAATAAACAATAAGCCATTTTAAACAATTAACAGCAAGTTTATTCCCCCTCATTCCCTACCCACACCCAAAAGAGCAAACCTCTATTCCCATTGTTCCATTAACTTGACCTGTTACCCTCACAAAATATATTTCTCTTAGCAACAGCAAGCCTTTGAAGATCAGTCAGAGTCACATATAAAATAACAGGGTCCTGGATTGCTGCAAAAGATAAGATTTCTTATCTTTGCATAGTGACACTTGTTTGTGCTTTTATCTCAAGACACAAAGATTGTAATAAGTATTTGAAGTCCCACTTGGATTCTTTTATGCATTCAGAACTTACCATAGTACTTGAAATTAAGTAATACATTAAACAAGGCAATACATATTTCAGTAAATGAATTACAGGCAGTCCCTGGATTATGAATGTGTTCTGTTCCTAAGAAAACAGAAATTCATCCTTAAGTTGAATTTGTAGGTAAGTCAAATCACATATAGTCAGCCCTCCATATTTGTGGGGGGTTAGGGGCACAGGACCCCCACAAAAGTGGAAAATCCATGAATATCTCTAGCCCCCTGCCAAACTTATTAGTGCTTCCTCTCGGCAGCAAGGAAATGCCGGAGAGATTTCCCTCCCTGGATGGACCAGGCAGGAAGGTATGCTTTGGAGGCCTTCCTCTCTACCCCTTTGCTTCCTCTCCCTCTATGGAGATGACAATTTTCTGCAGTAATTTTGAAAAATTTATAGGCTTTTTAGAGCAGTTCGTTCATAAGTAGGGTTGTTTGTAACTTGGAAATTCATAGTATGAGGACTGCCTCCTCATGTTATATAGACATTTTCTACATAAAATGTTACCTAGCATCCTGTTCACTGAAATTTCCAGGAGATCTTACGTTAATGCCTGAATCCCTGAAACTAGAAATGCATGTTAAACCTACTAGATGAGCAAGTCTGAATTACTTTGGTCTTACTCAGACAGCATACTAAATTCAGTTTAGTTCAGGGGTGGGCAATCTGTAGTCCTCCAGATGCATCAGCCCACAACTGTCATCAGTCCCAGCTAACATAGCCAATGTTGAAGGCTTATGGGAGTTGTAGGCCAAAACATTTGGAGGGCCACAAATAGCCAATCCCTGGGTTAGCATTATATGAATGAGCCCCCCTTCCCCTTCCTTTTTCTAGCTTAGCGGCAAAGAGAAGATCAGAAGATTCTTTTGAAAAGTTTATTTTTGTGTGATTCCCACAAACTAGTGTAGACAATCATTACCATCAAAATATATTGTCTCAGAAAGTGAAAATTGTTCCTTTTTTGTATATTTCCAGTTGGCTTGCTTTGGAAGTTACCAAAACATTTGGTTTCAGAACTGTTTCTTGCTCTGAAATGTAGCATTGCTGTGTTTAGTGAGTGCCAGGTTTATATACTAGTGCTCTAATCATTAAAGTTTTATTTCTGTTTTGACCATGCAGATGTATCTTTCTTTTTCTATTTTTCAGTGTCAGAATCTGGGAAAACTTACCACAGTACAAATAGGGCATGACAATTCTGGACTGTATGCTAAGTGGTTAGTGGAGTATGTTATGGTCAGAAATGAAGTAACAGGTCACACATACAAGTAAGCATTGTTTCAGCTTTTTCATGGTTTATAGAAGAGGATTTAAAAAAAAAATCTTAGAGCAAGTTAGTTTGCAGTAAATATAGTGACTCTGTTAATATCTCATTTCTTTATAAAAATCAACTTACTCATGCTGTGAACAATGAAGGGTGCTAAAAAGTTGTGACCAATTTTATTTCCAGAATTTTAAGCACCAGCTAGTCAAATGGGTATTTTAATCTTTTCTGTTTCTTTCTTACTGGACTAGATCAGCTACTGAGCCAATATGGTGTTGTGATTAAGAGTGTTGGGCTGGGTCTCAGGAGATCTGGGTCTAGTTACTACTCAATCATGAAACCCACTGGGTGGCTTTGGGCCAGTAACTGCCTCTCAGTCTAAACTACCTCACAAGGTTGTTCTGAGGATCAAATAGAGGAGAGAAGAACCTTGTAAACTGCTTTGGGTTCATTGCATGAGGAAAAAAGATGAGATGTAAATACAGTGTAATAATTGTAAATAATAATGTTACGAAAAACTTTTTGCATAATCACAAAATATTTAACAGAACATGATTTGAAGTTCCCTGTTCTGTGTATCAACCATGATAGCCTTATATTAGCTGAGACAGGAAATAAACTTAATTATCATGGCTTAGAGATGATTTCTGAATCCTGGCTTGTTAGGAAATAAGCACACAAGGGGGAACTACATTTAACTTTCTGGTTTGCTTTCCCTATTACACAAATGGAAGAGTGAACTGGCAGTAAAGACTGATTGTGGTTACATGGATATCATCTCAGCTACTATGATCATAGTAAAGTCTGGAAAGAAGACCTGCACAGTGCTTTATTTTTCTTATTTCATTTCCTCAGGTTTCCATGTGGGAGGTGGCTTGGAAAAGGGATGGATGATGGCAGTTTAGAAAGGATCCTGGTAGGAGAATTACTGACATCCCATACTGAGGTGGATGAAAGACAGTGCAGAACACCTCCTTTGCAGCAATCCCCAAGCATGATCAGAAGATTTGTTACAATATCACCAAACAACAAACCAAGTAAGTGATCGTTGTTTCTTTTCAGTACCATGCATTTACTTGTGATATTTTAATATCACTCCATAGTCTGCATGGCTCTCTGACTGGTTTACAATTAAAACATATAACAATGATAAAGCAAGTGATTACAAAACATTAGAAAACCAGTCAAAACCAAAAATACAGAACTTGTCAACTCATGGTGACTGGATATATTAATAGAATGGATTATACTGGAAAACGACATGGCTTGAATCCTGAACAGGGGTACTCTGCACTGCAACATTTTTTTTGCAGGTCCCTCTTGTTCCCTCTCAAAAAAGCTAAAATACTCTTCATAATTGTAACTGGAAAATAATTTCTATCCTCATGTCATTAAGATAAAGTGGAATAGTGGAGCAATAGAACTTGTCTTGAATCAGCATTGGACTCCTTAAATGACATTGTTTTGATATACTGGTTGACTGAGGAGAGAGGGAAAATAGTTCATCCAATCTATATATTAAATTAACAAATTGTGATTATATGAAGCTATAAGAACCTGCTTACTGCTAGAGGTTGTCTTGTTTTAAACAAAGACTGTACCCAACATGTTATATTTTCCCTTTAGCTTTCAGACACATTTTGCTGAATAGCATAGCTCTGACTCACTTTCCTATATGCTTGCTTGGTGATCCCATCGTAACACTGTGTATGAATTCCAAACCTCTATATTACAAAAGGCAAATACATAAATATGGATAACCGGAATGAGTGTCTCTTCTTATGCCAACATACCTTTAAGATCTTCAAAGGAGGCTTTTGTCCAGGTTCCTTTGCCAGGGAAAGCTTATAGTTGACTGAGGGGTCTCCACTGTAGTGACATCTATTACTGAATGCCCCCCCCCCCATGAATCTTGCCAGACATTACCACTGCTATAATTTCAGCACCAGATTCAAACTTTACTATTCTCCCAGGCTCCAGGCATGTTAATGTATTATGCCAGTTTGTTTATTTGTTCTTCTGTATTTATGCATTTTCACTGCGATGTTGTCTGGGGGCTGTTGGATTATCTTCTGCTATGTTTTGTTTATATGCTGCCCTGTTATCTTAGGATGAAGGGCAAGTTTGAAATGTTTTTAAATAATGTGTACAACTTTAGATGAAATCTATATATTCATTAAGCTAAATGTTTTAACATTAACATTTAATGTTAAAGATTCTTCTCCAAGTTCTCTGTGCAAGTGAAGTTGCACTGTGTGTGTTTGAACTTCTTACTGGTCTGTTGAGAGAGACTGGGCATCATTGATTGATGAGAGTTAGACTTAAAGTTGCCACTTCCCCCTACAGAGGTGAAAGATAGACCCATTAAGACAGTTTACCACTGGAAGCTGATGGGCAACTGTTTGTAGGAATATGTGAACATTCTGCTCAACTTCAAAACGAATCTAGCGCATTTAGTGATCTATTTGAACCCTGAAACCTCTGGGTTGTAAGAATGCTTGAAGGATTCTTGGTGAACAAACAGGTTTGGATGACACAACAAGCCACATCACATAGAATGCTATAGGGTGTGACTTGTTTGCCCTGCGGTTTGTGATGTGACCAACAGATGATTGGGCAAATTGTGGATCTGGATAATTGGGCAAAGTATGGCCCCCCACCCTTTTTTCAGTACCCCTGCATTAACTACTGAGGTGTTCATTTTCCATGCCATGGCCTAACAAGGGGTTCCAGATGGAGAATGGGGGAGCCGATGACACTTTAGCCTATATTCAGGTAGACTGAAGCAGGGCGTGCTGCCTGCCACCATACCCAGCTGAACGGGCTTGTTGCAGCAGTAGGGGACCGGCTGTTCTGTGCTGCTGGGCTGAAACTGCAGCTGGAGAGAGTGGCAGCAACCTTGGAAGTGATGGGTTGCTTGCAAGCAACCTGTCACTGTTGGGATCTGAGCTGCAGTCTACTGGACCAACTCTGGGGGAGACACAGCAGAAAGTGGATCATCCCTCCACCCCACAGGGAAGGCCCAGTAACATATACTCAGAGCCCAGCAGAGAGGGGAGACTCAGAATGTGGCTTCTCCATTGCCATGATGGTGGGCAGGAGCTTTCTTCAAGGGAAACCTAGCAGAACATGCCTTGTTCTGCAATTGCTTGAGTGGCCACTGGTCTGCAACAGAGGGTGGGGTGGGCCAAGCCACTGTTTACTGTGTGCCAACCACTCAAACCTGGTGCAGCACTTAAGGAGATAGACACTGGTAGTGTTATGTACCATTTAATCAAGGGCTTCAGTGGAAAGTGTGCAGTGAATACCAGCAGCAGGGAGCACGACTTGTAGTCCAGACTCAGGTGGGACATTCGGAACCAGTGCATGGTAGCAGAGAAGCCAATGATAACTGCTGAACGTGCTGCTTGAACACTTTGAGTGTCTTTCATTGGCGTATGTTGGCACAACTTCCTGCCACAATGACCAAGTGACTCTGTAGGCTTTGGGGATTTACCTGATCTTGTTGTGTCATCCAAACTTGAGGAGACTAAAATGTCCTGGAACAATCCATGGGTTGTTGAGGTGGCCATCCTGTATTGAGTGGGAAAGCTGGGTTTGGACAATATGCTAAGCCACCATGGCTTCAATGCCATGTTGGTCTAGCATATTGTAAGAGGCTAGTTACCCTTTCTTCTTTGCCAACTTGCTGGTTCTGTGCTGGGTGTGGGGAGGGGCAGGGTTCCATTCTACTATGGCTCTGCTTGTTTTCTGTTGTTTTCTGCAGAAATGAGAGTAAAGAGTGGGGAAAAACAAGGCAACTACAATTCCCTGCTCTGCATGGGAACCTCCCTCCCTGCAGAGCAGGAAAAAAAGGGGTAGTATGTCCAGGAAATGATTCTGCTGACTGCTCTTTCTTGGCTAAGGCACCTTTTCCCCCTGCTTTTCACAGAGTGAAGGTGCCTAGCCCAAGAAAAGATGCTGCTTCCTGGGGAGGGAGACATTTTTTTCTTGCATGCTGAGTTGCATGCACTTGCGTGTATATACACAAGCGTAATCAGGGTGGGAGGCCACCTTGAGGTAATTGGTACTTCCTGCTTTGTTTTTGCTTATATTATATTGGTCGATCATGCATTTCTCCCTGAGCAAGTTGCTCAAGTTGATAGTTGATGCAGGCCCAGTCACTGTTAAATGAAACCAATTATCTGGATCCAGCTCAATTTGATTTCAGACCTCATTTCAGCATGGGAATTACCCTAATAATGACCTATGCTGTTAAGGGTACTGGGAGAGAGTACCGTGGTATCTTTATGGATGGGCTTTTTAGTTGATGGAACCATGTCTCAGTGGTTCTGCTCCTACTTGGAAGAATGATTCCAGAAGATGGAAGACTCCTACTTGACTCCACTGGATTTATGCTGTGGGGTCCTTCAGCAGTTTATCTTATCTCCTGTTCTATAACATCTTCATGAAGTCATATCCTGTTCTTTAGCATCTTCAGTGAGGTCATCTGGAGATATGTGATCATGTGCCATCAATATGCTGATGACACCCAAGTCTATTTCTTATTTTTATTAGAACCAGATGAGGCAGTGGAAGTGTTGAATGAGTGACTGGGAGTAGTAGTGGACTGAATGAGGGCCAAAAAAATTGAAGATTAATGCTGGCAAGATGGAGACACTGTTGGTAGGTAGTTTATCTGATCAGAGAGTATGGGGCTCAATTTTTCTTGGATGGGGTTACTACCCTAAAGCTGGTTGTTACCTTTAAATGCCTAAATAGGCTGGGACCTGGCTGCTAAGGACTGCCTTCTCCCATATGGACTTGCCTGAATCTCATGTTCTTCATCTAAGGCCCTTCTCTGGCTCCCTGCACCATCTGAGTTTGCATGGGTAGTGAGCACAGAAAAGGCCTTTTAGTTGATATGCCTCATATACAGAATGCCCCCCAAGGAAAACTCACCCAGCACCAACCACGGTGTCCTTTTGGCACCATGCAAAGGCTTCTTTATTTGTCCAGGAAAGTGCAGTATTGCACATATATGGTTTCAGTTTTATCGGTGTGGTTTTTGTTCTTTATTTTTGTTTTTGTTTATATTGTAATTTATTGATTGTGCATTACCCTGGGAAAGTGATACTGAAAGGTGACCTTGAAATTTATATATTGCATATATGTAACTAACAAGCAAGCAAGCTGATACAGCACATTATTACAAAGCAAAATGCTACAACAATAACATGGATAATTTTTTCTACTCCCAACCTAGAAAGATACTTTTAATCTTGATTTGCCTGTGGATTATTTGAAAAACAAATTATTGTGTTGTTGGTTTTAAAAAAATAAGTGTTTTCCCTTTTGTACAGAGTTAAACACAGGTCAGATACAAGAATCCATTGGTGAAGCAGTAAATGGAATTGTCAAACACTTCCACAAACCAGAGAAAGAGGTCAGAATTGCCATTCTTAGCAATAACAAGCTTGATAATATTTCATCCTTGATATGTATATGTACAAGCTATGAAAGTCAACAGTTGGTACTGAAAGAAATGGTGGTTCAGAAAAATGTCATAGATGGCAGTTAAGCTGTATATGGCCAAATATATAATTCTGCTTCTCAGTTTATCATGCATACCCATTTTAATCAGAATTCTCAAGGAAAATTGGAACCATGGGCTTAATTCTTTTTAATCATGATTAACACGGGTTACAGATTACTTTGAATACAATAGAAGGGGACCAAGGAATTTGCATATGGGAGTTAAGGGCACTCCTGCAGTCCACACTCAGTCCCTCATTCCTGGTTCCAGGTCTTAGAACTAGGTCTAATTCCAACACTTCTGATTGTACCTGGAAACAAAGGTAACTACCATATTGCAGTCTGCCTGCTGCATTTTGAACCAACTGAGCTATTTTTAAAGGCAGTTCTGTTAGAAAACATTATAGTTCCAAAGTAACAAAGCATATAACTGATACCAGCTTTGCCTTTTCTAACATATTTCAACTGTTAAATCAGAAAAACCTGATAAAAAGCACTTTTGCCAACTGCTGCCACACCAAACACCCACCACTCTGTTCATCCAATGGCCAACCAGCTGCCCACAGAATCCTACAAATAGGATCCAAATGCAATAGCAGGCTTCTGCCCAAGTTCTTCAGCAGCTGATGCTCGTAAGCAGACTGCCTCTGCTACTAGAGGTGGCATATAACCATGGACAATCTCCTCCTCCATGAATTTCTCTATGACGAAGTATTCGTTCCACAAGTGTATGCTCTTACTACTTCAAGGAGGAGTTAAATCCTATCCAGAGTAGGATATGCATCCTCTCCTAGACGGTCAGAAGCCCTTATTAACACTACCTTCTACTTGTGTGGGCTAAGCTTCAACTTGTTTACCCTGTTCTCCTTTGGAAATGATGCCAGACACTGATTAATCACCTCCACTGCCTCCTATAATTGGATGGTAGAAAAGAACAATTATAAAATTATAACCGTTGTAAGGTTTGATTGCTGTTGAAGTCTTATTCTTGAGACTCTGATAGACATCACTAACTGATAAACTGAATCAAAGCACATACTGGTATCCTAGATTAAGCAGTTACTGAGTATTTATAAAACTTTAGACACAGTAGTTCATGACAGATCTGTTCATAGTATATTTAGTAAGAATTTAGTAATAAAATACTATTTTATATTCTGTTTGCAGAGAGGCAGTTTGACAGCTTTGCTTTGTGGAGAAGGTGGGCTTGTTTCAGCTCTTGAGCAGGTGTTTCAGCATGGATTTAAATCTCCCAGGCTTTTCAAAAATGTATTTATCTGGGACTTTTTAGGTAAGTATAAAGAGCCTATGTCTGGTGAAATCTTCTGTATGCTTACTTTCTACATAGAAGAATGGACCCCACTGTAAAATGACAGCTAACAGGAAGAATAATTGACTTCCACTCCTATTTAGTATCAGAAATGTAACCATTCCTGCACTTTCTTGAAATGAATATTATATGCTCACTTAGAAATTTGGTCTTCCTGATTTGATTTATTTGATTTGATTTATACTACACTTTTCTACCAAAAAGTTGCATTCAAGGCAGCTTACACAAACAATTAAAATTGATTAAAATAATAAAAGAGTAATTAAAATACATTAAATACAGAAATAAATCTAGATCAACACACAACCCAACTGATCCACTTACAGGGCAAAGACATTCTTTGCCTCTGATAAATTTGAAAAGGGAGAACAAATGTGAGTAAGTGATCAACTAGGTCTGTGATGCTGTAGAGTTTACAGCCAAACTTAGATATGGCTACAGCAGATCCATGTGTATAAACACAGCTCTCCTTTAATAATAAGGAAGAAAGTGGGTGAATGGGGATCAATTTAAATAATAGGGTGCATGGATGAGAGGCACTAAACCTTCCTCAGTTCTGTGACTTTCTTCCCTGCAGTTAATTCCCCCATTCCCCAATACTTATTTCCTCAGCTGACTTTTGGTGCCAGAATTTCTTTGATGGTAAAAGGACTTTAAGTTGAAGAGGCTGGTAGAAAGTCTGTAGTAAGTGGAGGGAGAATTTGATAGTCTTCATCTCTGTGTTCCTTTTGTCATTAAAACTGAACTCTGCTGTCACTTTTCTACACTGCTGCATTTTTCTACACATGGATCTAGCCAATATCACACCCAGTTTGACTTTGAAATGGTGTCAAAAGAATGTTTTGGAAGAAAATCTGCTAAACTGAGCAGCCTTTTAACAGCTGCCTGATTTGAAATTCTAAGGGTCAGTGGTGGAATTTATTTTTTTACTTCTTCTCCCACTTTAACAAATAAGATGAGAATCAATTCATTAATTGTGCTGATTTTATCAGCATTGCTTTACATTTGTGCTTATATGATATTGTCTCAGTTTTTTTCAGAGGTGGTAGTGCCTGATAATACCTACATATTTATTTGGCCTGTATTATCAAGTACAACAGCTCTCCATGGGTGCCAGACTTCTTGTGGCTTGTGATGTGCTGCAAACCCAGGCAGTAAGTGTTACCTGGGTTTGTACGACATAACAAGTTGGATGCTTGTGGGTTCCAGGAAAAAATGACAGCCAGAGGCACTTGGCACAACACAACAGCTCTGCAAGTATATTAAGCCAAAGTGAGCTGTCATGGCATATGAACAGGCCCACTGAATACATTTATCAGTCCTTTAAAGATTACGCTGTTTCACAAGAAGTAGGTGATCAGAATCAAATCAAGATCTTTTTATCAAGAAAATAATTAAGCTGCCACCAGTATGTGTGTGGAGGAGATGTTGCGATTTTCCACTGACTTGATAATTATACTGAATATCTCTGGCTGTCTTCAGAAAAAGCACAAGGCTATTACGAAGCTCTAGATCAGAATGAAATGGTTCCAGAAGAAAACTGGCAGAAAAGAGCCCGGAGTTTTTGTCGCTTTGTCACAGCCATCAACAACACTCCTAGAAACATTGGGAAAGATGGCAAGTTTCAGATGCTGGTGTGCCTTGGTGCCAGGTATTACATTGCTATTCTGATTCATTTATACATGCTTTGCCTATTAGCCACACAACAGAGATGCATTCACGTTTATCAGTTTCATTCTGCTGACCAGATTCTGTATCCTTTGACCATCCTACGTATTCTTTTCTTTGGGATGGCATTTTCCTCTGAACCAGATAGAGTCAATCTGTTGCTTCTTTAGTGGGATGCTCCTCCCTGTTTTGTCTTTCAAGCCACATGGTTACAGCTTCTTACTTGCTATAGGCCTAGTTTCCCTTTACTTTCACTTTTGGTTTTATTCCTTGGGCAGCTAGTTTTTCCCCCTCTGCCTTTCCTTAGTAGGGATCTAGCTTCATGTAGCTTCTCAAGAAGTGGATTCCCAAGTAGCAGGCTTCCAGTTGGGTTGGAAGCCAGCTGCCAGAATGCATTGATATACTGCTGCACTGCCACTTTTTTCAGGCGTTTCATTGTGGCTCTAAAGAGCAGGCAAGAAAGTGCTGTCATTCTGCTGGTCCCCTCTGATATGGCAGAAAGAAACATCCAATTTCAAATAAGACTTGAAGGTCTAAGGTTGAAGACATGTGGTCAGAGATAGGTATGATGATTGGGGTAATAGTTTGGTGCTGAGAAGGATAAAAGCCATTCCTCAGTATCAAAACTCAGGGGTGCATGTTGCAGACCCAACCTCCATTCCAGATATTGTAGAGACTGGACTGTGGAGAACTGTGGATCTCTCCAACTCTTTCATTAGCTTCTTGCAGCTTCTCTGACAAATACTCTCCTGAGCTTATCACTGGGTTTTGATGAATGGCCTTCTTTAGGCAGATTTCTGGTTAAGACATATTCTTTCCATTTTATAATAAGGGATTTAACAGTGTTTCAAGGAATATCCATAGTTTAGGATTCTTTTATAACCCACCCTCAATCTGTACTTCTCCACAACTTCATGCTGGAGTTGTTTCATACTGTAGCTCTTCATGATGGCATTTTTAAGAAGCACCAAGAAACTTGCAGAATTTGCAGTATTTAATCTGAGATCCTGTGATACTGAATTGTACACAGGTGGACTCTATTCAGCTACTTAGAGTAGACTATGTGACTTCTGGAAGCATTGGATTGCTTATTTAAACATATCACATCAAAGGCAGTGAATACCTTTTCAATCAGCAAGTGCCAATTTATTTTTGTTTTCTTCACTTCTGTGCCATTATAAAAGTATTTTGCACTTGCACACTGTTGGAAATCTTATTTGCTTCAAAACCAATTAAATCCATTTCAGTTCCAGGTTATAACACAGCAAAATGCAGAAAGGTTGGTGGGGTGGAGAAAGCAATGTTTCTTTGTAAAGGAAGAACATTTATTTAATACCTGGTTTCGGAATTCTAAAATTTTCCATTGCAGAGATCACCTCTTGCACCACTGGATTGCCTTGCTGGCAGACTGCTCCATCACCGCTCAGATGTATGAGGAAACAGCACTCATAAAGGATCATACATTGGTGAATTCCTTGATACGTGTGCTACAGACCTTGCAGGAGTTTAACATCACACTGGAGGCATCTCTCGTTAAAGGAATTGACATCTGATCTGACTCAAGCTACAAGCACTGTTAAAAGAAAAAAGCAACAAGAAATAAAACATTAGTGTGCAAAGATTCTGTATGCTAATACATTACATCCAAACATTCATGTCACTCAACACAACTCTTCTGGAAAGAAGCTCCAAATTAGAGTGTGAAAATAGGGATTGAAGCTATATACCCAATGTGTAAAGGAGAAAAGATACCTTAAATCACATTTAGAGTTTATTTGCTGATTTGCTTTTACACACTTTCATGTGAAAGAGTTAGATAATAAGTATTGTGCAGCTTATTTTAAAGCTGTAATATTTCTTTGCCATAGAAAATGATGCAGTGAGGAAGCTCTTGCATTCTCAGAACTTGCCTTCAGACTGTATCTTGCAAAGTGTAATTAATACATTCCATTTCTGTTAAGAGTTATTAAGCAATTTAAAACTAACATTTCATTATGTACTTATATTATCATCCCTGGCCTTTCCAATTTGGGTTACTGCTGCGCTTCAAAGAAACTAAAAGTTTAAATATTGTTTTTAAGAGTCTCAAAGTCCTTCATTAGCAAAACACTTTTTCATTTTGTTGACAGTATTATTTTTAGCAGATTTTGGAGGACTGAACCATGCAGATGCACAGAGATTAGTGATATTTTTTCATATGGTACGGAATTGCACAGAGAAAAGTATATGTGTGTTTTTAACTGGCATTTATTTATTTAACTTTTCATCATGTTGTCTTTGTCTTAAAAAAGGATAAATAATCTTATATATTGAACAGGCTATGTTACATGTCTGTTGTGTTTTTAAGTCAGGACCGAATAAGAGTTCAGTTCACTTAAAGAGAAGCCCAGGATAAGAGTATCTGTCAGCAAAATCTCAGCATCAACCCAGCTTTCAAATTCAACTTGTTTATGTTTCACCCCTCCAATCATAAAAATACTGAAAAGATCATGCTAAAGCCATACATACACTATGTAATGGTGACCAATGTATAAATCTGTAGAATTGGATTTTGCAGGTTTCACAATCGTGTGACATCCTGCAGTACTGGCACAACTTTATAACGGCATCATAAGCACATGTGCTGGCTCAATTATTTGAGGTTGGGTATGAGTGAGGTCAGTATTACTGTGACTTATTCTGCTACTCAGCCTAATGCCATGTCAGGTTTTCAAATCCTTCTCTTGGTAACCCCAGTTCACAAGTGGAACACATGTAACACATGTTTTTGAAATGCTAAGCATTCATGTGCTAATTTTTGTGTTTTGTTAAAAGACTAGGTTTCTTGAATGCTTGTGAACATTGTGTAAAAATATTAGCTCACCTTCATAGTGTTCAGAATTTGTGAACCTTTTAAATAGTAAAATTACAGTTGGACAAACCTAGTGAATGCCTGCCTAGAAACAACTGTTCTTGTTAGAATTCTCAAGTACAAACCCTACGAGATGCATACTTAACTGAGGGAATGCTATGCTACACTGTACAGGGCTTTAGACCTCTGTATTAGGAGGCCTTCACTGTATAAATGTTATCTTAAAAGCTAGGCTCTTTAACATAAGGAGCAATGATAAAGGAAGTTTCAATTGTCAGTCTCTTCAACAGGTAGCATTATTCTTTATTTCCTACATCTTGTGGACATTTTTATTCCAGTAACTTAAAAATATAGCACATGTATTAAATTTTACTATTTTTACTTTTCTTGTGTTTTTCATTATTAACTTGTTGGTATACCCTTCTTTCTTATCTCAGTTGGTTCTCCTTGTAAGAATACAGAGGTCAGATGATACACAGCTCAAACTACTTCATCTTTTTTGATGGATGAAAATATTCATATTGGTCTTGCTTGTGCAGCTCTACCAAGGTTACCTCCAGGCTCACAAAATAGTATTTTTGCTATATCATTGAAAGGTATTATACACAACTACACACAGAACCTGTGGAGTTAACAAACCTGCTACAGGTCTTCTCAGGGCTTTCTTTTGCAATGTCACATTCCTTAAGCTTGCATATAACAAAATGGTGGCTTCTCTATTAGGTACCTCAATAATTGCCTTTCTGCAATAGCAGCTTGACGCAGCATATGATTGAAGAAGAAAATTGTGTGGATACACATCATGGTTAGATTTATGTCAGATATCTCTGACATCTCTTTCTATAGAAAAAGAGGAGGCAGGTTGTACTTTCTTTATTTGTTCTGACTTTCCAAGAAAGCAAACATCACTTTCCAATTATTTAAATGTTGTTATATTACATTAGACTGGTTGTGGGACCTGCTCTTTCATATTTCAATCATGTACTATTTAAAGTTATTAGGCTTCTTCCAGCCACTAACAAAGATGCTGATGATAACCAAATGTTGGGGTCCAACTTCATTGCAGGTAAAAAAGCTGCAAAAGGTAACTAAAACAATATAGCTATGTCTAGGAGGATGTATCAAAGAGCTGCAATACTAGTTCTTTGAACTTGAGCTAGCTTTAGACCTGTAGTATTTTAGGATTGTTCCCCAATATGACAAGGCAAACTGCTTTTGAAACAGAAGACTTTCTAAAACAGGTTGTGATATAGATGGGTAGCTGTTGATAACCAAGATAAATGAAGTGGATGTAGTGGTATCTTTAAATTTGTTTTATAAGTAAAATAAAATTGATGCAGTATACTGCAAATTGTAGTTGCACCTGGGAAAATAAACCCAGTAGGTATTCAGCCTATTCACACAATTGTTGGGTGGTTAATAAACCATAGCAGCTTGTTAACTAACCTGCACATACTAATTGTATATCAGCCAGGCAATTAGCTTGCCTTCACAGGTTGTTTTGATATCAGAATCTAGTAAGAGTTGATGGTTGGGGTAAACTATTTAGAAATCCTAAAACAGCCCATATCTCCTCTCCTCCTTGCCCTGAACTGCATTGCTGTCCCTGAATTTGTGGCAATACTAATGCAGCTCAATTTTTAATATTTTATTTTAAATATTGTGTGTTAAAGGGCATAGCAAATCAGAATGAAGGTAACAAATAACCATATTCAAACTTTGAAACCCAATATATGCATATATTTTGTATGCAACTTGTGTAAAGTACAGGTCCTAGCTTGACATTGGTGAACTAATGCTTAGGGGATACACAGTTTCTGTGTGCTGAAAAACTTACGGTTAAAACAAAGGCTAACAGCATACTTTCTAAAATCTTTGTATTCATCCAAATTATCTCCATTTCATAAGAGAACCTAAGCATCACATATTACATTCTTTAATTCACGTGTTTTTTTTATCAGAATCATACACAAATCCGAAATTATGGCTAAGAGGGTGGTTCTTTTTTATTTAATAGCTTTGAAAGTAGTTATTGCCAGTGCTTATTTAAGTTCTTTGCCAGCATATAATCCTTTAAGGCACAATCCTATGCAGTTTTAGATAGAATATTTTATCCTGTTGTTAGGCCTTTCCATTTAAGCAAGTCAATTCCAATCATGCCCTAACTTACGAAGCTGGCTTTTTTCTGTCAAAGCATACATAGGATTGTGCCTTAAATCATATTTGATATCTAGAAGAGTTATTTTCTATTCTTTCACATTCCAACAGTGTAAAGAATATTTTAAATTTTAAAGTAGCATTCTAGATTTCCTTATTTCTGTGTGCACTATGTATGAGAATACAGACAAATACTGCTTTTGCAATTAAGCTTTCAGTAAAAATGAATTCTTGGACATTCTTGGCAAGATTTCTGTTGCCATAGTTCAAGATGTCTGGAGGCTTGATTATTTTTATATGTTGTATGTTTACTTTAAAACTTTGTAGTTCCTTTTATAACTAGAGATTGGTTGTTTACTTCTCTCAAAATGCAGCATTAATTTTAATAATTATAATGAGAAGAAGTTATATTATGTTTTGAAGCCAGTCATTGAAGTTTATAGCACCAGAACAGAAATAGATATTATATTTATAGTTTCCAAATTGTAACTTGTAATTTTAAATATTGTACACATGCAGCTAACTTTACTGAACTGCAATAAAGCTTTCTTCTGATATCCCCGACAAAATTAATTGGATGTACCATTTCTGGTGGCTGCTTATTCTAACCCTGTGGGTCATGCTAGACAAGGCTGGAATTCTGAGTACAGAAATTCTCATTAGAGTGTTTTTCCCCCATGAGGAACTGATGTTGAAGGAAAGGACTGCACTCAACTAAAGCTTCGAGCCTGGTCTTTCACTGGCTCCATCCCTGCAGGATACTGGCTGTACTTTTTAGAGGACCACCATCAATTTCTGCAGTCTTTTATTCCTGTATAGCTGAGCAGCAGAGGAAACTGTTGAGGAGTAATTCTCAGAGTCAAATGGGAGACTGATATCCTCTGGCTGGCAGATTTAGAAATGGCTGCTGAGGAGTCTCTAAGCGGGGTTATCCATGTATAGAAATCAACCATCCTTATAGCAGGATGGAGCTTCAGAATGAGAAGATATGACAGCTATGTTGATCCCAATTAAAGAAAATTCAAAATTCTCAGACTAATACTTTTATTAGGCCAATCAAAAAAAAAGGCAAAAATGTGCAACCTTTGTGATTGTAGGATTTTACAAAAAGCAGATTTTGAGATGGTGGGGAACTGGGAGAAAAATTGATTTGGTAATGAAAACACAGTGGCTGCATATTCAGAGTCCAAAAATTAAGAGAGGAAAAGGGGTTCACAGACATTCATATAGAGCTCTGCAGGTCATGTGATAGTTAAAATGTCAGACTTGGAGTTGTCCTCAGAAATGCTAGCAGCAAGAATCGGGAATATGTTGGTTCTCCATTTTGGAAATATAAAATCCCATTGACAGTCATGTTTCCATCTTGGGTGAAGCACAAAGGCTCCTTTTAGCAGTGAATCTCAGAGGAAAAACTAAACATTGTTTCTAAGGGAACAACCCTATGTAAATTTGAACAGAACCAAGTCCTAAAACTCCCAGCATTTCCTAGCCAAAATGGATATCCAAGTGATGCTGGGAGCTGTAGGACTTGTGACTATCTAAACATGCAATGAATTGTACCCTAAAATTCTCTTACATATACTGAACAGTATAAATATAGAACATCCTTCATCATATTTACAGAATGGTTGTATTTAGTGAGGGAAATGTTGTAACTAGATGGTGCTGTTGAACAGAAGCCTGTACACATTCTGGGTAAAGGATTGGAGCCCTGACATTTCAGCATCTTTCAGTTATTTTTTAGTAACTCCAGTATTTATTTGATTATATTTCTATCCAACCTTCTTCCTGCAAGGAACCCAAGGCAGCTCACATAATCATCTTGCTTCTATTTTTATCCTCACAAGAACCCTGTGGGGTAAGCTGGGCTGAGTCAGTGACTGGCTGGCTCAGTCACGCACAAGCCTTCATTGCCAGGTGACAAGGAGAATCCTGATTTCCATATTCCCAGCAAAACACTAACCACTAGTCCACACTGGTTCTCACACTGCTTGTTTTGCCAGCATATTTATATTTTCTATGGAGCAACTATTAGTCTACCTTTTTGGTTTCTTGAGCTATAAACCTGTCTCATAAAGACTCTGCCTTGCTGTATGACTTTTCCAAATGAATGAAATGTCTCCTTTGCCCTTGACATCACTGGAACCAGATTTTTATCTACCCACTGGCTTGTTTCATGCAGAGCTACCCATTCTTGTTCCTAGAACTACCTGAGATCTATCTCTCTTTAACCTCTGCCACTAGAATCTTCCGCCTGTTGCTCACTTCTTTCAATATTGTTCTCTAACATTCTCAGTATATGAAAGACATTCCTGTTTCTGTCAATGGCAATATGACCTGTGTTGCAGGAGAGATTTGAATGTAAGCAAATTTTTGCAAGTACTGTGTAGTGACATATTACACATGTAAACAAATCTGAGGTGACACTGATTCTAGATAGCAAGTTCATACAAATAACCAGGAAACCAATAGATTAAGAAACAAATCCTAAATAACTTAAATTGCTTAGAATTGCTGTTGAAAAAGGAAAAGGTTGCTAAGTAGGAGATACAGACAAGAAGAAATTATATTCCATTTGCTCTATAAAGCACAACAGAGTATCTGACCTGGTTCCAGCTATGTCAAAGGGGAGTGAGATATATTTCTTAAATTTGGACAAGAAAAGATCTGTAAAAGCTTTATAAATCAAGAAACACTAGATGAAAAATATTGGTGAGATGTGAGAGCTGAAGCAGATTTTAACAATTATAAACGGCACAATGGAAGATCTAATATCTGAAGCATATACTTTAGGTATAAAGGTGTATACTGCCACTGACCATGGTATCCTTCTGGATAGGCTGGTCCGGCTTGGAGTAGGGTTAGGATTAGGCATTGCAACGGTTCTGTTCCTACTTGACTGGCTGATTCCAGAAGGTGGTGCTGGGTGAATACTGTTCTGCGCCATGGCAGTTATGATATGGGGTACTGCAGGGTTCCATTTTATCCCCTGTGCTATTTAACATCTGCATGAAATCACTGGAGCAGATCTTGAAGGTGGGGGGCTCTGCAGGGAGAAGAGGAATCTCTTCCCAGTCTCATGACAGAAACCAATCCGTTAGTGAATGAAGGTAACTGGATGTCCACTCGCTATTACCTCTCAAAAGGGGCATTTATTATATCTATCTTCTGCCTTTTTCCCTTTCAAGGAACTCAAAGCAGTTTACATATTTGCCTCCTCTCAATCATATCCTCACAACAACAGTTCTGTGAGGTAGGATGGGCTGAGAGTCTGTGACTGCCCAAAGTCACCTAGTGAGCTGCATGGCTGAATGGGGACCAGAACCTAGATCTCCTGAGTCCTAGTCCTGTGCACTTAACCACTATACCATACTGGCTCTCTGCCTTGCTTTATCAAACAGTATTTTATTAACATTATATGCCCCATTAGCTGTAGGAACATATAAGAGGTAATAGGAACATGCTAAATAATGAGCGCTAGCAAATCTACAAAAGCATAAAAATGTATGACTAGTTTAGGCTACAAATCCCATACTTACTTAGCTGGAAGGAAGCTTGATTGTATTGGAAGCCGTTCTGAGGCTCATGCGAATGGGACGGCATACAAAAACCCCAAATAAATAATAAATAATAATAAACTGATTAGGACTTCCTTAGGATGAGGACTTCCTAAATGTATATGGGATGTACTCAGAAAGATCAGACATTAAGATTATTTAATGAGATAAATCCTTCCCCATGAAACAGGTCAATCATATAATAAGACTCCTTAAGAGTAATATGAAACTCAAAAGGCTTTGGAAACATCAGTTCTGAAGCTTTGAAGCGAAGTGTTGCAGAATTAGAAAGCGATATTTCTTTCCTGTTAGCATCTAATATGGGGTGGTCCTTCAAACCCTCCTGGGGCAAAGCCAGTGGGACCAGCACCGCCCCTCTGCACAGAAGCAAACGAGTGCAGCCCCTGACTTCCTCATGCATTAGCTTCATTGAAGTCAATGTGATTTCCTTCTAAGGCCATGGACAAAAATCTGATTTACTTCTGAATAGATACAATTTTCAGTCAGTTGTTTCTTGAGCCAAAAGACAAACGGAGACACTCATAAAGGTTTGAAAAGACCCTGCACACTTTTTCAGAGGAGTGAAGGAGAGAAGCAGCATAACACTGACAAGTCAAAGAAAGCTGATCACCTTTGCACTTGTCAACAGGAGCAGCTGGGGCATGCTGGGGAAAGTCTGTCTGGTCAAATACAAGAGGCTCAGTGCACCAATTCCAAGAAGGAAGAAGGGGGGGGGGGTCACATGAGAGGGTTTCTGGGCAGGAGAAACAGGGAAGGAAGGGATGGACCATCCCAGAGGAGTGATCATTGAGCTTGGGCTGTGGTCAGAGAAAGAGCTCACAGGCCCACAAAACATTGTTCATTCAATTAGTCCTAAAATAATCTTAAAATTAATTCTGCCTTGTTTAATGGTTAATTAAATATATTGTATATATTAAGTTAAATAAATATATTCCAAACACTTTTAATTTACGAAATGGAAATGTAATTCATTGTGTGACTCCTGAGTTCAAGGTTCTCATGTGTCCCTCAAGGTATAAAAAGTTGGGCTACCCTGATCTAATATACCAAAAGAAAACTATGTTCCTATGTATTTTTGGTGAACATATTGTACAATCTGTGATTACAAACTGTTTGGTAGGTCTGTAATAGATATAAATATAGAATAAATATATTGTAGATATAGCATAAAAATTTGTTTCGTAAGCCACCCCGAGGCTTTTTGCGAATGGGGCAGCATAAAAATGTTCTAAATAAATAAATAAAAGCTTAACAACAAATTTCTTCCTAGTCCAAGTGTCTATGAACAGGCTTATTGCATTACTGAGCAATTTTAATTTTACTTCTCTCTTCTTTCAATTTTGTAAGAAAAGTTGGAAGAATTGCTGAACTATGTAATTGGCATCTTGTAGCATTATACTGGGCTTTGACTGTGATTTTAAAAGGCTCATCACATATAATAGGCCTGCTTCTATTTAAAAAAATTCTTTTAAGAGAATAACAGTGGTTGTTTCAGAAGCAATGAAGCCTGATACACTAGTGAGAAGAAGTATATGTAATTTATGGCTACCATTAGGGAAGCAGACAAAAGACTGAAAAGTTTTTAACAATTCACTTGGCAATATGTGTCTGAATCTCTAGAAATCAGCTGGTATTTCTCCCACAGCAAACAAAAGAGATGGAAGGCGAGAGAGTTGCCTTCCTTCAGTGGGAATAGAAAGGTCATGGAGAAGAAAAGAAAGTAACATAATTCTATTGCTGACAGCCTGACTATATGAAGCTACAAGCAGTGCCTCTTATTTCAATTGGTTTAGGCACATCTAATTTTGCACTGGATCAAGCTGCTAAGGCACTTATGAAAAACAGTTATATATTTAATGCAAATGTTGAGCTGGAAGTAGCCAGTCAGGAACCTGCATCTTTTTAAGCACCGCAATGTTACATATTCAGAGATAGCTGCAAGCAAAGGCTACTGACTTAAAAGGTAATCCTATACATTGGTTTCTGTGAAGTGCATTCTCAGGTAAGTAGGTATAAGATTGCATCCGTAAAGTATTTTATGCGAAATATATATTTAAAAATGAAAATACATGAAAGTGGAGTTCTGGTGGATTCTAAGCTAAGGAAATTATGTGTGTTGCAGTTGTTACTATTATATCATAATTATGCATGGTGCAGTTGTTACTATTATATCATAAATATGCATGGTGCTTTACTGAATGTAACAAGATAAGTAGGATGAGTTTACCATCTAAAATTCAACATAGGGAAAACAGGGTAAGTAGGAAGGGAGTGACGGAAGTGTAAATAGGAAGCAATATCCAGATGTTTCATTTGAACATGCTTGGACTCAGTTATAAAAAGACTGAATCCTGAAGGGCAGACTAGAATTCCATACATAAATGAATGAAATAAAATGAACAATTCTGGGCTGTGCCAATGGCTTCATGGAAAAAGTGGGTTTTGAGGTGGTATTTGAAAAATGGAAGGTTTCCCAAAGGGAGTTCTAAGTGGAAAGAGCACATATATTTGAATGGAAGACTGCTGGAGGGGCAAGACCATGAAGCCCTTCAAAGCATAAGGATTTAAGGATCCTTACTGAAGATGGCAGCAATGAAAAGAGAAAGTGATTTTGACAACAGAGTGATAGTGTGTGGGGATCAGTGTGTGAGAACAGCAGAGAGAAGATTGCAAGGAGTGACCAGATAGCATGAATATTTGCTGAGGTGCCAGAAAAACAGCTGAATGTTTAAAATGTTATAAAACAACATTACTGCGCTATATTGGCTATGTTAAACAGAGAAGAAAATGACAACACTGAGTCTGTCATACTTTGGGCACTTCATAAGAAGACAAGACTCACTGGAGAAGACAATTATGCCAGAGAAAGCCAAAGGCAAAAGAAAAGGAAGACCAAATATGAGATGGATTGACTACATAAGGGAAGCCACTGTCTTAAATAACAGCTAAGCAGGGATGTCAGGGATAAAACATTTTGGAGGGCTTTCATTCATAAGGTTGCCCTAACTTGGAGATGACTTGATGGCACATAGCAGCAAAACAGGGAAGCTGGATTAGTAATAATGTCAATGCATAAAAAGCACTAGACAATTTGAGAGGAAAGATGGGAAGCTTGTTTGGATCATACCGAGCCTGAGATGACAAAGAAGTTTCCAAACAGAGAGTCTGAAGAACCAGCTGGAGATGCTTCCTTACAATTAGTAGGGCTGGCCCAAAACATTTAAGGGAGGAGAAACCTGTGCCTTCTATTCCGCTTTCAGAAGCCAACCTAGCAGTTGAATCGTAGCTCAAGCCCGATGATAGGACAACAGCCTCCAATCGAGTTGCCTAGCAAGTGCGGCCACCTGAAGGAGAGGGTCGACTGTGGGATTGAGAGGAACATGTAGGGCGCCATATCAGGAGCGCGATCCACTTTATGTGAGCCTCCGACGCGTGGTTATTTTGCATGCAAGGTCGGGTGGGTAGCACTAGTTTTCCTTCCAAGGCTTTCCTTTCTTTACGAAAGAAAAGCTAAGTCGAGGAGTTCTGAAGGAAGCGCGGGAAAGAGGCGCGCTCCTCGCAAGGGGCGGTCTCCGGCCCCGGCGCGTGCGCGTTCCGCGCCTATCTTGCCGGCCAGCCCCAGCTCGCACGTGAGGCTCGGCCGAGGCCCGGGGCGGGTCAACTCCCTGTAGACACCTCCTCTTGCGGACGCGCCCCGGCTGGGCCCTAGGGGGCGGCGGCCGCCGTCTCGGCACTAGCAACGGTGGCGGCGGCAGGCGCCGAAGCCCGCGGCGGCTGATCGATGGGGTCCGGACACCGTTGCTTTTTGGCGGAGGCACTCCGGCGGGTGCGGGTGCTGCTGCTGTTGCTGGTGGTGCCGCAGCCTTCGTTCCTGCTGTTCACCGCGCCCCCCCAAGGACAGCTGCGCGCAGCTGTGCTCCTCTTCCCGGGTTAGTATCCAACTAAGTCGAGATGGTGGCGTGGCGCAGCATGCTCCGACGGAGGGGCCGGGCGCCCTGGCCGACTCTTTCCCCGAGCTGAGCGCACGCCGTGAGCGTGAAGGCGGCTCCGAGTTTGGCGCTCGCTCGGTTCCACGCTGAGGGTTGCAAGGAGCTTTGCGGGCGCGTTTCCGAATAAAGCTGACAGCGGGCAGAGTGCTCCTCTTCTGCATGCGCGCGGGGCTGGTCACCTGCTTGCTGTCCGCAAGTTTAAATTCAGTCTGCTTTGGTGACCAAAAACCGACCGCGGTTTTGGGAGAGTTGCGCAAACCCAGCTGGATCAGTTTTGGATAGGTCGGGTGTTATCCTTGGCCAGGGTCCACCCAAGGAGTTAGCTCCGCTGACTTCAATTCTGAGAGCCTGTTATCTGTGCAATGCTGACGTTCCATTGATCTTAGTGCATTTTCTGTTTCCAATAAATTTCAGAAGACTTGTCAGTTTATGGCAGCTAAAAACTTTGTGACACGCATGTCTGAGGCGAGACTGTTGTGCTCTGAGCTTTTGTAGGCGAGAGACTTGTGGATTTGATTAGAGGAGCTGTATACGATTGCTACTTAGCAATCCGCTTAGTCTCTGAGGTACTTTAGCACGTGTGTACAAGCAGTGTTTACACTCGTGATCAGTAGTTTTAGCTTCACAAATCTTAATTCTTAAAAAAACCACTTCTCCATTGTAAGAAATTAGGCAGTCCTATATGCACTTAACTTGGGACTAAGTCTCCTTGAAATGAGAACATGTGGTAATGTAATACATAAAATACACTTGGTACTTTACAAATAGCACAATTTTGAAGAGGAAAAGAAAATATTGGGCTGGCTTCATTTTTGGTGGGTTTGTCTGATTTATAACATGAATTTATCCTAGCTATGCAGTTTAAAACTGTATGAAAGACATGAAGATTTTGTTCAAATTCACACTAACTAGAAAAAGGTACATGTAAAATATATGACAAAATATTTTCAAAAGGTTGATTTAAAAGAATCTCATTATTTGATCAGTTATGAAATTTAGTTACTGTTCATGTACCTTTGCCACTGTTGTTCTTAAAGCCATCTTGGTTTGTCTTATAATGAGCACATTTTGTAAGAAAGCATAGCCAGGTTGTTACGTGCTGTCATGTTGTCTCCAACTGCAACCCTCCAAAATGCCTTGTCCTAATGGTCCTGCTCAGCTCTTGTAAATGCAGTCAGCTACATACTATAAGTGTGGGTTCAAATTAATTGCATTGTTATGTATTAGGGTATTTCATGCCTGTTCTTTCTAGTTAGATATTAAAACACTTTAAAAAAAATCTGTACATGAAAATATTAATTGATGCTTGTGTGTCATCATTTTAGTGAGACTTTCAAAAAACATTGTTTCTGTGATGGTTCTGTAGCATTTGGTTCTACAGAGTGAGGAAAGTTGGAACTAAATTGGAACATTGCACCCATATTAGGGATATTGGTGCATGTTCTTTTTGTATGATGTAAACAGGATGATAGTCTCATCTTAAACATGTTCACTTGGAAGTAGGTCCTATGGATTTAAAGGAAAACTATAATTCCAGGTACATTTTATTAAGGATTGAGATACCAGTGAACAGAATACGTGGTGTATGTTGAATGTTCTTATTAAGGTATATGAAGTTGCTTGCAGTTTGCCTATGCAAGCTCTGTTGTTTTCTGTTCAACTTTCTTGTAACAGACTTTACCATTCCTTTTCTCCACCTCATTTTTTCTGTTCTTTGGAAGAGTTTCAGTCAGTGGTAGTTCTAGGACAAATCCACTTGAACAAATTGGTATATTGTAGATGGGGTTTGAATTCAGTATTCAGAATGTGGCTCTATGAATATTCAGCTTGCAACTCAAGGTATGTTCCTGGGTATTAGCAGCAACTTGTAGGCAGTTTGAGGGATTTAAGCAGTAACTTTGGATAATTTTGTAGTTTTTTTGCAGTTTTTCTTTATAGGCCTTTTTTATAATAGTCACTAACTACTTGAATCCCCAACACTATGATCTTGAGCACCTCACTGTATTTTTTTCCTCTTTTCTTGGTGTTACATCAGATTATAACTGCATTTAGATGGAAACAAAACTACCCATCATTTGTGGTTTTTCACCTGCTCTTTGTGTGATGTGTTTTGATAGATTTTTCCATGCTACACATACAAATTTCAAATTAACATCGAATTGTAAAAGTATATTCTTATATATTTAAAGTATTGTCAGTTGTATGTAAAGAGGAATAAATATATCTATGCAAACCTTGAATTATTAATATACACTTAGAGTATTTTCTTGCACTACATAAGGCACTACATTGCTAATGAAAAACCCAAAACACTTGTGGAACTTGTGTTGTGCAGAAGAGAGAGAGAGTCCCAACCTCTGAAAGTGCCAGCAAATGATTTTATTATAGAATTTCTATGCTACCCTTCAATAGGTCACTTACTTAAAAGGAAACAAAAAGCAAGCAAATAGAGGTAAAACAAATATGAAACAGAAAAAAATCAATAAGCAAGATGAAAGAAGCAGAAAAATAAATGTACAGAGCTAAATATATGTCTAAACGGTCTAGTGGGAAAGGTTCTTTGCCTGTTGTTGAAAGGACAATGAAGTAGACCTCTCTGCAGAAAGTATTCCTTAATTAGGGCACAGCTACTGAGAAGGCCATCTCTCTTAAAGCTAGTTGCTTTGATTTTGGCACGCCAACTGATGTTTCAGAAGAATACTTTAAGAGGGAGTTTTCTGTACTGAAAATCAGATATTTGAAAACTTTGGCACAGTACTAGTTACCATATGTTATTTCAGTCCTGTACATTTCTTAACAGCTCCATGCATTTTCTACAGCCACTGGGGTGAGGAACTATTTTCAGCCTAGAGACTGAATTGGTTTTGGAGAGGCATGTAGGGGGCTGGATGCTAAAGTGAGTGTGTTCCCACTGTGACATGTGGCCCTAATTTGATTGCGCAGAGCCCATTTACTCATACACCAGTACATGTTTACAGGTCAACTTTCTTCCACTGAAATGGTGCTTTGAAAAAACTTGCATTAGCAACAACAGGCGAGAGGTAACTTTTTGGCTTGGGTGGGGCAGCATTCAGGAGAGTTAGCCCTTCCCTTCCCAGCAGCAACCTCTCTCCAAAAAATTTACCCCATGCCACAATTTTTAAAAAATCACTGCACCAATGTGGGCATTGAAAATGGGTGATTTGGTGGGTGGGTCGCAGGGGTGGGCAGTATTAGCTCTGCTTTCCCCAGCAATAAACCTGAGCATGCCATGCTGTCATTGCCCTTTTAAAACTCTCCACTGTCACCAGTGGAAGGTTTGGTTTGGTTTGGTTCGGTTTGGTTTTCTGAGGAAGGAAAATCTTTTACTTTGAATCAGAGTTCAGGGGCAAGATGGGCATCTTTTACAATATATGGTGTGGAGGTTCCTCATTCCTGCTGTGCTGCCTGCTCACTTTCCTCTTTTTCCAGGGCTCCACACTCTATGACCTTTCCTAACTATTTTGCTCTGAAAATTCTGCTGAATCTGTTGAGAGCCAGTGTGGTGTAGTAGTGAAGAGCACAGGATAGGGAATCCCAGGCAATCCGGGTTCTAGTCCCTCTTCAGCCATGGAGCCAACTAGGTGACTTTGGACCGGCTAGGGCCAGCCACACACACTCAGCTCAACCTACCTCGCATGGTGGTGGTGGTGGTTGTTGTAGGGATCAGATTGAAAGCAGGAGGCGAAGGAGCATGATTTCAGTTGCTTTGACTTCAGTGTAAGAAAAAAGTGGGATATAAATCTAATAAATATGTTAACGACTTTGTGGGGGGAATGTAGCCGCTGGTCTTATGCTGCAGCGATGCTTTTTACCATCACATAACATTGCTTTTCAGTAGAAAAAAGTTATTTCGGAACTATTTTCAAACACCCTATTTAATAACCATTTGTTCAATGAATGTGTGCATGACAGTAGTTTTTACATTCTTGAATACTAATTTCTATAAAAAGCTTTTTCGAAGTGTTTCATTTATCTTGAGGTGGGGAATCACATTTCATGACTTTTTCATGTTATGGTGATAGCCCTTTATTTTTTCAATAGTGTAACTTAGATTGAATTTCCCTGAATTTTACTGCATATGGGAATCTATGCTCCTGTCTGAATGGCACTGCATACCAGTTCACATAACCATTGAAGACAGGGTATCATGTTGGTAAAGCCTGCTCTCACTTCAACAAGACTACGTGCTCATTGTAGACAATTGTGTGGTTTCTCCCATTAGCTAATATATAACCTTGGCTAATGGTTTATGCTTGCTGCTACCTGAACACATGGAGTGGCCCTTTATCATCAGGAGTATCTTCATGCTTGTACCAGTCCCAGATGCCCTTGTCTGTAGCTGGTGCTGTTGTAGCTTTATGCAGAAATAGTTTCAAGCTGTCTCCATGAGTTAAAGATTGTATCAGGTGATCTGATCTTGAGATATAGAGAATACTAGTGCTTGTAATGGGCAGAATAATTTTTTACCAGGCAGCTGTATTTGAGAACAGTACCTGCTAAAATTAAATATAAGTAAATTATCCTACAGTAATATGCCCAAGTGTTGTATCTGTGAATTTCTGGTTAGATCACTGTTGGTATATGTCAGATATATAGGTGCACATCTATACATCTTACTTTTCTCTTCACAGATGTGGATGAGTGTGCTGAAGGGATTGATGACTGCCACCCAGATGCAATTTGTCAAAATACTCCCAAGTTGTACAAGTGCATGTGTAAGCCTGGTTACAGTGGAGAAGGAAAGACATGCAAAGGTATGCGCATTGTAGCTTTACATACTGTGGGTATGCTTTTCCCCATTTCTAGCTGAAGCTGAACGCCGGAAAAACAAGTATATTTTTATTTATTTATTTTTCAATTTATATCCTGCCTTTTTCCTACAAAGGGCTCAAGGCAGCTTACATCATTCTCCTCCTCCATCTTATCCCCACAACAAGAACCCTGTGAAGTAGGTTGGGCTGAGAGTCTGTGACTGGCCCAAAGTCACCCAGTTGGCTCCATGGCTGAGCGGGGACCGGAACCCAGATTGTCTGAGTCCCAGTCCCTGCTCTTAACCACTACACCACACTGGCTCTCCAGTATATGTGTATTTGCATTATTTATACACATCGTAGTTCTTTTAAAGGCATAAACAAAGCTCTAGCTAGCACAAGTATTTTGTTTTGTGGGTTGTAATTTTCAGGCTTTTTCACAAGAGCAGTGTGGTGTAGTGGTTGGAACATTGGACTAAAGACCCAGGAGACCCAAGTTGTAGTTCCCACTTGACCATGAAACTCAGTGGGTGATTTTTGGGCTAGTTACAGACTCTCAGCCTAACCTATGTCACAAGATGATTGTTGGGGATAAAATGGAGCTATGTAAGCTGCCTTGGATTCCTCACAAGAAGAAAAAAAGGCAGGCTATATATCCAATGTAATAATCATAATAAAACAGTAAAATTGTTGTTTGGTGTCTCTTCTGATTTTTATGCCATGGCTGATTATTGATATAGCTTAGAAAGCGGAAGAGAGACATCCTACAGTTTTTGCATGTTGTAGGATAGTTTACATTCATGTTACAGAACATCATGAAATCAGAAGTATTTTAGAGCATGATCCTATACATGTCTTGAGAGAAGAGAGTGCTACAACTCTTGGCATTTCTCAGCTGACTGTGTTGGTTGTGTAATGTTGAAAGTTACAGAACTCTTTTCTGTCTCATCATGGGCAGGATCACACCCTACATGGCTTAGGGAATGGCTGAGGGGACCACTTGTTCTGCTACAGATCTGTCTAATTATTAAGATCCACAGAAGAAGTCATTCTGAAGATGCCATACGCAGGATTGTGCTCTCTGTCCTCATGGCACATAAGCTTCTGAACATGGAGTCTTATGCGCATCCTGTGCACGGAATGAGATGCAGCAGTGGCAGTCTGTGTTCCTGTTGTGCCTTAGGCCATGTGTTTTATCTAGATGGCCATTTTCATTTTGTTGCTGTTGCTGTTATAGTTATATTCTGAATTTTTCATTCCGAGGAACTCAGAGTGGCTTACATAATTCTCCTCCTCTCAATCTCAGCCTCACAGCAGTAACTCTGTGAGGATAGGTTGGGCTGAGAGTCTGTGACTGGCCCAGAATCATTCAGTGAGCTCCATGGCAGAGTGGGAACTAAAACCCAGTTTGCCTGAGTCCCAGTCCTGCACTGGTAACCACTACCAGTACACCACACAGCGCTGGGTGGAGGGAAGTAAGGAAGGAGGGTGTGGTGCCAGTAGGACTTGATGTAAACCTTAGCCCCTGCTTTCTCCCCCCTTTCCTCCTCTTATGTCTCTTTTCGCCTTCTCTGAGACCCATTTGCAATCTCAGACAGGCAGCCATCACATTTTTGTCCTGTGTCAACTACAAGGGGACTATGGTGGTGACATCATCTGTGGAGTCTCAGCACTGAAGTCACAGGACCTCAGAGCTGGACTTTGGAAAATCCTATCCCTCCCCACTCCCCTGCCCAGACAAAAAGGAGAGGCCATAGGATTGCACCATTGGTGTCTTGCATTAATGTGGATTTGGAACTTGTAAATGCTAGATGGTGATGCTTGCAAGGAAATGAATTCCTTTTTCTGGATACAGTTAATAATGTGCAAAACTCCATGATGAAGGGGGTCATTAATTTATGTCACTTCTACCCTGCTTTTCTCTTCTGAAAAAGAGTAAAGTGACTAACAACAAATAATAAAAAGTATAAATCAAACTATAAGACATTAAATAGAAATACATAGCAAAAGAACAGAAACAATCAAGCACATAGAAGTAAATTGCAATGAGAATGAAGTTCACAAATAATATAAAAGATCATGCCCATTTGCAGCATTGGAAAGGGACTGAGCACTGACATCATCTTACTTGAAAACATTGTCTTCATTTGCATTTTCTCTCTCTTCTCTATGGATCAAGTTTTATATACCTTAGAAGAGAGAGGGTCACCAAGAAACTATTCACCAAAAGGTACTGCTAGGCCAGTTGCTTTTTTGATGGGGCTTGCACAGTTTCTGCACAACCCCTATTACTTAGAGTCATGGTTCATTAAATGGCAAAGCTTTCGTTAACATTTTGGTGAATTAGTAAAGCTTGGTTGTAATTTGTGTAGTTCGGCATGTTCAGGGTCAGCTGGTTATCATGAGGAGGAATAAAATACAGATGCATTTATTGTCCCCAAACGACCATTTCTCCCTGTGTGTTTAAAAAGTATGCATGCATACAGTACTTCCCAAGTTTATTTTTAAAATTAGCATGATTGCTGTTCCTTCAGATGCAAGTGTACCAGCTTCTCTATTTTTAAAAAGACATTCTTTACAGAAAAAAACAGACAACCATTTTCCTAGAGGCAAATAGTTGCTTTTTAATGGGTTTAAAATTTTTGTGGATTCTTGTTTAAACAGGATTATCAAAATTAGTGATCCAGTTTTCATGAGAACCATAGCTCTTCATGGCTTATTTATGCCACAGCAAGTTGCAACAACACAACCTGTTTCCTTCCTGCGACTTTTGCTTACCCATGCCACAACTGCAACTTATCATGACATCTGAACCCTGCAAAAGTGTGTTATTGGGATGGCATGGTTGAAAAGCCATCCAGAACCCAAGGGGTGATTTAAGGTTTGGGGAGATTTGTTAACCATGTTAGCAACCCACTGGTTGGATTCACATAACATGTCAAGCAGCCCTTCATGGTTACCACAGTTCGTATTTTTTGCTATCACTTACTGAACAGACAATTAAATGGTTTCTATGTTACCATGGTTTCCATCCTCCCTGCTCAGACCGCTTGCTGTTTGCATGTACCCCATCAGCTACCATGCTTGAAATTCAGTCCCAAGGTGCATCGTTCCCTGTGTATGCTGCTTGCCTCTTCCTTATTCATCTGCACACACAGGCTGGATTGCTGGAGTGGCTCCTACAGTTGCTACTCTTTCCAGGGCATTCTGTTGTAGTTGCATACCAGGACTGTGGAGACCATGATACTGGGTTCAGACATCAAGCCATGGTAATGCAGAGAAACCGTTGAATGAACCATAATTTTTATCAGTATAGTTTCCAATGACCGTATTTACCATGACCGGACTCAGATGACAGACCAACATTGGTAACCTCCTCCCACCCCCCATGGCTCATTATATCTTCTGAACCCAGCCACTCTTACCACTTTCAGAAAACACAACAAGACATGGAAGGCCCTGCATTAGATCTTAAATAAGTCACAGTGGGAAGCTAGATTGTGAGAACTGACCCATGAAGCAAACTTTTAGATTGAACTTTGTTTTCAGCTTAGGTTAATAATCTAGTTGATAAATTCAAATTTATCGTCTTCCCAAGCACTGCAGTCAGGTTTTACAAGTGAATCAGACCCAGAAACTTTGTGAGAGTTTCTCCTTTACCTATTTTGTGTCATAGGCTGGTATGGAGAAAAAAACATATGATTCAGAAGTTTCTGCAGGAGCATGCACTTGCTGAAAGGAGGGCAGATAAGGGGTTACTATGGCATAAAGGTATGGTAACCTCTTTTTCTTCATACTGTACTATAGTAACTCATGTGTAAATAATAGTGTCTTATGCAGGGCCTTCCCATCTGCACATATAAAATATTTAAAATATAAGAGCATCTTATAAAGAAGTGGCTGTGTTGTATTCCTGTTGGGAAACCATTAACATACCCTGTTAAGCTTCCTTGATTTGGAAGGTAAAGATGATTTAAGATAGCAGTTACAGTGAGCATGTATGTATTATTATCATGTCATGACCTGTCTGCAGCAAACAAGCAGGCATCCATCATAATGATGTGTCTACTTTATTCCCTAGATATAGATGAATGTGATAATGACTTCGATGGAGGCTGCGTGCATGAATGTTTCAACATTCCAGGCAATTATCGCTGTACATGTTATGATGGTTTCATGTTGGCTCAAGATGGCCATAATTGTCTCGGTAAGGGGTGTGCTGCAGAATGCACCAGTATTAGTCCTAAGTGCTATCAGTGGAAAATCCTATATTACGCAAATGTGATGTCAGATAATGTTTCAGTCTGCTTTTTTTAATGAACTGTGATTGGGTCATAATGTGGGGAAGACAAACTTATGAAAATCTACAGCTTAATGTTGCTCTTTTAAGTAGGGCTTCAGGGAATCCTTTGGAGAGTAAAAACTACTCAACTATTTTTATTTAAGCATGGCAATAAAAACATTTTAAACACATTAATTGGTTTGCTAGAAACCATTCATTTACAGTATCCAATTTTACTGTTAAAAAATTACAATGTCTGTTGTGTCCCAGGCAGCAGTGTAGGAGACAAGGAGAGTAAGCCCAACTGCCAACCCATTGGATTCTTTATTATAATGGCTTATTCTTATGCAATTAATATAGGCCACTGTACTGATGGAAGATAGCTGTACCAACTTGCTATATCTTACTTCTCAGATGTGGATGAGTGCTTGCTCAACAATGGAGGCTGCCAACATGTTTGTGTCAACACAGTAGGGAGCTATGAATGTCGTTGTAATGTTGGATTCTTCCTCAGTGATAACCAGCACACCTGCATTCACCGTTCAGAAGGTAAAGTTTCTCTCTTCTATCAAAGTGGAAAGCATGTCTCCTTTTTCTCCGAACAGCCTCCGTCAGGCTCTCTAGATTGCTTGCTGAATCAGTGAAGGGTGCCTCTCCTTTTCACTTTGTTAACATGGAAAGGATTTTAAGATGGGTCTTATAACAGGGTGTATTGAACATGTGAAAAATCCAGAAAACAACTTTAGCCTGTTATTGGTTTAAATGTGATATTAAATGAGTAAGACTTCTCAGCAACTTTAATTCATCCGAAACTGGCTATGCTCACTGGCATAGTGGTTCTTGCACTCAGCATTATTTTTAAACTGGACTGCTGGTGCCAGTGTGGGCAGCCTTGCTACTGAAGGAAGATGGCAAAAGGCACTCCTGAAGTTGCAGCTGGTCACAAGGTTTACTGATTGGCGTCTTAGGGAAGCAAGGAGTGATTAGGTGTACATTGGAGGTGCATTGGCTGTGGAATGGCTAGCTTCACCCAGCGCAGATCAGTTACATAATCTGTGTCCCACTGCCACCCTGTGTCACCACTGGCTGTGTACTGTCTTTTCACGGAACCCAAAGCAACAGCAGAAATTATACTAAGAACTTCTCTTTGAAAGGAAAGGCCCCGGAGTAGTGAAAGGTTGGAACAAACCTGAAGTGGGAGGAAGAGGGATGACTTTCTCCATGTGCCCCTTGCAATAAAGGACAGAAGTGGATGTCTGTTGGGCCTATCTCCACAAAATCATGCAAAGTGACCTGAGTGTTCAGAGAAGAAGAGAGATTTAAAAATACTAGTTTTAAGGCAGTGAAATAACTCCTGCACAAAACCAGATGCCTGATCAGCAGTTTCAGTGAATGGAAGTTTAATAGAGATCCTGGAGCGATAGCTTGAAAGTGGTAGTCTTAAGCCAGGGAATTTTCACTGAGATTGTGGTTAGTTAGAATGGTTGAATGGCTTTAACACAGCAAGATAGTTCTACATTTGCAAATTTGCTTAGGGTAAATATAGATTGACTTTGTGGTTGGATAAACCAGGAGAACAAGCCAAGAGGCCAACTTTCCTTTATAGTATGAGAACTTCAGCTAAAATAGCTGTGTGTCTGTGTGTGTGCGTGCGCATGCGTGTTCATGCACTTGCACATATGCTGAGGCAATGCTGCTGCAAGTATCTAAATGGCCAAAGGGGAATAATAAAATAGTTGAAAAAAATAAAATCTAGCTTAATGGAAGTGACATAAGTAGAAGGAAAAGAAGCTCCCATTGGTGTCAGTGGAAACTCTTTTAAACCATACTTGTACAGGGTAAATGTCATTTCCCTCCTGGAGCTAGTGAGAAAGATTATGGGGAGGGATGAAGAGAGATGAGAAGGAGAAAAAGTATTCAATATCCTCCTAAAAACTCTGAGCAGGAGGTCCTTGTCCAGGCATCCTAAGTGGTTGTATGTAGGTTTGTATGCTTTGTTACCTTCTCTTGGTCTTTGCCTTGCAGTTTGCCATACACAGGTGGCTGTAAGCGTCAGTCTTTCTAGCTTGCTTGAGCTTTTTGTTCCTGGGTGTGTTTCAGAGTGAGGGAAAAGGCATCATTCCCAACCATTTAGAGCAGTGGTAGAGAACCTGTAGCTCTTCAGATGTTTTGAACTACAACTCCTGTCATCCCTTACCTTTGGCCATTTTTGGCTGGGGATGATAGGAGTTGACATACAGCACTGTATGAAATAAGGAGAGCCTTATTGGATCACTGCTTCTGCCTCTGGGTAGTCCACAAGCAGAACAAGATGCTGCAACTGAGTTTGCCAAGAACAGGTGGTACATAGACTTCTTGAGCAGTAAGCATTTTCAGATTTTTTCTCCATGAATCTACCTAGGCCTTTTGAAGGCTATTCAAGTTGGTGTCCATTACTGCATCTTTTGATAGCAAGTTCCTCACTTTAGCTAAACATTGTGTGAAGTACAGCTAAGGGGCACAGGTTCCTAACCCCTGATTTTGAGAGACAACTGCAGAAACTGCAGAGTGGAGAACTGAAGAGAGTCATCCTGACCACAGCCCATTTCATAGAGTTTGAAGTGGCCAGAGAGCCTTCGGGTCTCAGGGCTGACTTTTCCAGAAAACAGGTTGGAGCCCCATCTCGGGCAATGGAGCAGGGGGAGCAGCAGTTTGTGCTGTGCTGTGCCCTCCAGAAAGGTCCCCCCTCATGGATGCCCTGAAGAGCCCTAGAAGCCCATCTCCTACCATGGTCTTTGTGCAAGCAATCACCTGGGCTAGCCCTCCGGTGCCTGGATCTGAATAAGTACCCACTCAGAGCCAGGCATTTTGGTGAGCTGTGCAGCACTCTGAAGATCTGGGCCAGCTGCTTTGGACACACTACTTGGTAGTAAAGGTAGGGAGAAAGGAGGTGGAAAGGATGGCAGATGATGCAGGAAGGAGAAGAGTGTTCGTGATGAGGCAGGTCATGAAGGGTGTGGCATGATACGGGAAAGGGGAACATGGTGCAGGGAGGGATGCGACATGGTTAAGGGAAGGGAGGGGGCATGACACCGCAGCAAGAAAGAGAAGGTGGGGGATGTGATGGTGAAGCCACAAAATGGAGGCATGTGTTCTTTCCCATCTCAAGGGGTTAAAAAATTGTTCCAGGCTGGCTTTGCCTCTGTTTCCTTTAACTCTATTTCCTTTCCTTTCCTTTCCAGACTCTCTCTGTTTCCGCTACACTGCTTTGTCCTTATTCCCAAACTTTCCTGTTCTTTCTGTGCTTCCACTTGGCTTTGTGTGCTAATCTTCCTTGCTCCCTTTCCTGTTCAGCCCTTACGCCACTCACCATTTTGAACCCTCTTCTGAATGGAAGTGAGTATCACTTGATTTTACTTCAAATTTAAATTTAGGTAGTTAAAGATGATTGATGAAAAGTTGGAAGGGGAATTTACATTATCGGAAGGGGAATTTACTACATTTTGCAATAGAATCTGGGTCAGAAATGAGAAATCAGTTGTGGGTAACTCCCTGATTTGCAGTTGGCTTGCTTTTGAATTTGTCAAATTTTTGGAACTCAGTTTGATGCAAAAGTTGCCCATTGAAAACTGCTACCACCACCTGCTCTGTATCTCAGAGTATTTCATTGGCTTAAGTGGCTTACCTCAAGACTTCTGTCTCCTCATATTTGTATACTATATTAGTTACAGGACATTCTTCAAAATTGTACAGCTTGAACTGTGCAGAAAGGGGAACATAGCAAGAGGCCTGGTGAATTAGCTCAAGGGTCCATCCAGTCCAACTTTCTGTTCCCACAGTGCCCATTGTGATGTTCAGGAGAAACCTACAAGCAGAACATGATGGGCTTGCAGTGGTATCTACATTGGCTAAAGGCCCTGAATGAAAGAAATTTTCATAGCCTAAATAAGCTGTTAGTGTCTACGTTTGTTTATTTGAGATTTTTTTTTTGAGTTTTTGCAAAATCAGCTCCTTACTCAGCACATACACAAACATTTAAGTGCATGTTGCTGCATTATTACCTCTTTTGGAAAACAGGACTTAATAATCATTCCTCAGAAGCCCAAATTTCTAACAAGGACATAATTTAATTAACAGAATTATCTTTTCTTCCTAATCTTGATGTATTACCCAAAAGTCTGATATATTTATATTTCAGAATTTTAATGGTTTGAGCTAATTTTAGTCCTTAATTATTTTCCAATTCTTTTTCTATTTCCATCTCTATTTTTCATTTTATTTTTTTTTCAAATAATGAAAAAATCTTAAAATCTTCAGTTTCTCTCTATCTGAGCAATTGTTTTTCACTCAGAGTGCATGTAGCTAAGCTAAGTGCATATGTTGTTGTTAGAACATATTTTTGAATGCGTTTTTCTTCCCCTGTTTTTCATGCCAAAGGGGAGTTACAGATTTTTTTTATTTCAGTGGACTTTACCAAAGTGTCTGCTTGAATGATGTCTCCATTGGTTTCTGAATATGCACAAAGAAGTTACACTAGTAGCAGAAGCTAAACTGCTAATTCTGTTAAAGCTTTCTAAACACCTCAGGTAACAGACAGATCACATGGCCTGTTGAAGCTTCCAAATGCTGCAGAACAGTAGAGTTAATAAGGCTAATTTGTGATCATCTGTGATGCAAAGAGCCTGACTGACAGCATAATAGTGATTGCCAGTTTTCATGTGGAGATCTTTGAAACTTTTGTGTATCCTAGAGGGTTGAAAGCATCATTGTCTTGATAGTTTTCTCACTGTGGGAAAGGAATCAAGAAGCCAGTAGAGCAGAATAATCAAAGCAGTGGAGCTGCTACTCTTTTGTTGCTCAAAGTTGCCTTCTTTAGAGGAAGTCTGTTGGAGCTAGAAATAGAGGTGTTAAGAAAACAGCATGCCTGATTAAAATGTAGCATGTTGACAATTCCCTTTTATTTTCTTGGAATACTAATATGGCTGTTGAAAAGAGATGCATGAAATCTAGCAAGGAGTAATTTTGCACTTGGGTATAAACTCAGCCATATCTATCAAATTCACAGTAGTCTTTTGTTGCATCATGTGCATTGTGGACTACAACATCCATGAGGCAGAGTAATTGTTATGGATTGTTTATGTGCAAATCATACAAGGTAAATACTTCTTTGCAGATCTATTCTGCCTTCTGTTTCAGTGGCAGTCGTATAAAAGAGGGGTGAGATTTTACAACTGTGTGGCATGCAAAAGCATGTTATAGTGCATTTGGATGTCTTGCTAACACTGTTATTTTACTGACTTACTTTTTCAGATAGGGACTTACTGAATTTGTTCAGGGACTCCCAGGCTTTTGGGATCCATTTGCACATTTTGGAATTTGATAAACTGTTGTGGATGACACTACAAAACAACTAACCAGTGAATTGCCATTTTGGGTTTTACTTTTTGCATCTGTGGATCTTAGGTTGTATCTTACTCAGCAAAAATATTAGTTTTGTTCCTATTCAACAGCACAATGTCTCTTTAATAAGGGATCGTCTAATTCAACTAAATGCTCATAGTGCAATATAG